AGCTTCCTTCGACTTCCTCCATGTCTTCCCCATAACATTCATCTATGTCCTCCTCCTGTCCAGTCTTAGATGATGAGTTGTCCCTCTTCCTTTCTGAGACTAATCCTTCTACCCATGTCTCATATTTCATCCCTTCCCGTCTGCCAGGGGCCCTTGCTCCATCAATTGTCCCCTGTATCTCAGACAACCTTTATGTTACCACCTGTATTGGCTCTGGCATACTATAGTCCATGGAGTCACAAAGAGTTGGACACCACTGAACAACAACTGTTGGTTCCTTTCATTGGGTCTTGTTCAGGAAAACTCTAACCTAAAAACAACCACTCCATTGAGCATAAGATCCCCCTATCTCACCCATTCTCCTTCCCTCCCAAAATTTGGAAAGAGTATTCTACCTCTACTACATTGCTGTTCAAATACTTTTTAATCTGGTTTTCATCCCCTCCACTCTGTTGAAACTGCTTTCTCCACAATCACCTATCACTTTAAAAATCATGAAGTCCAATGACCTTGGAGAGGGGGAGATTCTCATCTTCCTTAACCTCTCTGCAGCATCTGATACCATTAATGATGGATCTTTCCTGGTACCCTTAAGTTCCTAGGCTATCATGACCCTAAATGATCATGGTTGTGCTATTACTTATCTAATGACTTTTCCTTTGCTTGTCTTTCTCTTATTTTTCATATGTGGCATCCCCAGAAGATATGAGACTAATTTAGAGAATCCAAGAGGTTCAACAAAAAAATTAATTGAAGCAATTAATTACTTCAGTAAAATAGCTGTTATTAAAAAAAAAATCCCACAAAACCATCAGCTTTTCTGTATGTTGCTACTGAAACCCAGCAGGAGATGATAGAAAAAGAAATTCCATTAAACATAACTACAAAATGTATAAAATATCTGGAAGTTAACCTGCCAAGACATACTGAGGACTCATGAAAACTTTTTACAGAATTATGGGAAGACTTAAATAATAAGAGAAATATTGATTGTTATTAGAAGAAATTACTTTACTACCTAAATGAACTTGCATTACATTTAGTGCCATACCAATTAAACTATCAAAGACTTACTTCATAGAGCTAGGACATGGGGGGAAAATAGCAATGGAGGAGACCTAGCATTGGTAAATTTCAAACTGTATTAGAAAGTGGTAATCATCAAAACTATCTAGAACTGATTTAAAAATAGGAAAGTCAATTAATGGAATATATTAAGCAAGAGTCTGAAGAAATTAAACATTGTAGCCTGTTGTTCAATAAAGCTAATAATATAAACTATTGGGGGTAAGGACATGCTGTTCAACAAAAAATTCTGGGAAGAGTGGAACATAATAAAGAGGAAATAAGGTTTATATCAATGCGTTACACCAGATATCAAAATAGGCTCTAAATAGGTACTTGACATCAATATGAAAGGTCACAATCATTAAGAAAAAAATGAAAGGGAGTACCTTGTAGAAATATGGCTAAATGAAGAATTCTTAATTAAGCAAAGAATAGAGGTGATTGTAAAAGATAAAATAGACAGTTTCAAGAACATGAGTGAAACATTGCTTTGCACAAACAAAGTCCATGCAGCTAGAATAAGAAGCAAGATAGCTGGGAAATATCTTCACAGCAAATGTCTGTGACAAAGGTCAGACATCCAAGATTTATAGGAAAGTGATACAATTATGTATATAAGAATAAGACCCGTTCCCCAATAGATTAATGGTCAAAGGATGTAAATAGTTTCCAAAAGAAGAAATACAAACTATAAACAACCATATGAAAGAAAGCTCCAAGTTTCTAATAATAGACATACAAATTAAAATAATTCTCAGGTTTCACCTCATGCCCATCAGATTGGCAAAGATGGGAAAATATGAAAATGGTAAATATTGGAGGATTATGGAAATAATACTTCTTTAGTGGAACTGTGAATCAGTCCAACCATTATGGAAAACAATTTGGAATTATATTAGAAACTGTACCTACTTGCTGGTAAAATGATACTACTACTAAGCACATACTTAATGATGTCAAAGGGAAGGGGAAGTCTCATATATACCAGAATACTTATACCAGTATTTTTTGTGCCTATTAATTGAAGACTAGCTGAATAAAAATAGAATATTATTGCAACATAAGAAACATTGAAAATTAAAAATTTAAGAAGCCTGGAAAGACTTGTATGGAATAATGCACAATGAGGCAAAACCAAGAGAACAAATTATTACATAATAATTATAGTAATGTAAAGGAAAACAATGAAAATCATTAGAGCTCTGATAATGGTGACTTCAGAGTCCCAATTATGAAGGATGCCTCCTTCCTCCTGGTAGAAAAGTAGTAGACTATAGGTGTGGAATTATGCATAAGGTTATCAGTCATGGCCAATATACTGATTTGTTTTACTTAACTCTTTATTTCTTTGTCACAAAAGTGTTCTGTTGGGATAAGGTGAGGAATTGTTAGGAAGTAACTGTGACATTAAAGAAAGATCAATACAGTTTTCTTAAATGTAGATTCTCTCCTTCTCCTCCCTCCCCACTCCCGCCATTTTGTCTTGGCTTCAGTTATTACCCTGTACGAATTAATCCCAAATCTATATCTCCACCCCGACCTCTTCCAAGAGCTCCACACTTTAAACTAATTGCTACATAATTATTCTACCTGAATGTTCCACCATCTCAAAACCAAAGTTCACATAGATGGTGCTTTGAATAACAAGGATTCAAATCCAGGTCTAGCGATTCCAGATCCTGTGATAACCCAGGTCTTCACCTCTAATTTATGAGGTTTCCATTAGGCTATCTCAGTTTCACTCTCACAAAATGGAGATAGCTATTGAGAGTCAGGAGACCAGAGTTCTATTTTTGACTCTGACACTAATTAGCTGTGTAATCTTGGAAAGTCATTTCACTTTTTTGGACCTCAGCTTCTCATCTATAAAATGAGGTTGGACTAGGACCTCTAAAGTACCTTCTAGTTCTAAAATCGATGGTACTATGAAATATGCTTCCTCGAAATCTCTGCAATGCTTCTAAGGAACACGGGAAATGCCATGTTTCAATCTCAGTTTCACCTTACAGAAACCATCAGCATTTTGCTTCTGATTGAATCTGAAAATTACATTTGTCCTCATGCTAATAATAATTTTTTCTCCTCTTAAAAAAAAAACACAAAGTGGATATAAGAGAAGAAGACAACATGAATGTTCTTAGAGACTTTTATACTGTCAATTTCTACAGAGGTTCTTGTCCCAGTTTAGAATTTCCCCTCCTCAAGACCAAAGTGCTTGACATTGTCATCCTTATCTCATTATATGGTAACGATGATTAATGCTCAAAAGGTACAAATGTGCTGGGTATATTCTGAATCATTTTTGCTTATCTGATTTGCCCCATACATATTTTGGTTTATCCATTTGCCTATAAACAACTATTCCAGCTTATTTGAAATTAAATAAATCCAAGGAAAGCTTTGGATCAGCCTACTTGGATGCTCATACTAGTGATGACATCTCTTTAGGTCACATTTCCCTTCTCCATGAGGAAACAATTTTTCTTCAACAGGGTTCACGGTGATGATCTCAGAGCATCTTTCTGTGCTGTTCATCCAAACTCTTTCCTTACCAACATCATCTATGCTGTAGAATGGATTCTTGTTCAGGTACATGTTGCTGTCCCTTCCAAAGTAGAGATTCTGTGATTCAATGACTTTAGACTTATAGACTATCCATTCCGATATTTCCATTTGCAGATGAGGAAGCAGTCCAAAGATATAAGAAAATGTGTAGAGTCCCACAGATAATAAACAGCAAAGCTGGCATATGAACTTGTGTTTTCTGGCTCCCAAATCTCTCTACTAGATCTTCATCACTGACCAATATCTGGAAACTTATAGAACAACTACTACATACAGTCACTGGTCTTTTGCAACCTTGACCTAGTGCTCTGTTCATAAGAGGATCATGTCTTAGGTCAGTTGGTTCAACTTCCTTGTATAATTATTTATTGAGCTTAAATAATTATTTTTTTAAACATTTATTTATAATCCTATGCAGTACATTGGAAGGAACACTGGATTCTAAGTTAGCACCTGAATTCAAAGCTTGGCTCTAATACCAGCTTTCCTCGTATGTAAAATAAAGTTGGTTTCTAAAAAAAGGCCCCTTCCAGTTTTAACTCTATCAGCCCTAAACCTGGCAGGGCAGGAGGAGAGCTGTGCTAAGTGGGATGTGTAAAACATAATTTGTCCAGCTGGGAGCAAGTGACCTACCAAAAAGCAGCTGTTTAATAAAGTACTGCTTAATGACTTCTTGAAAAAGAGGCTTGTTCATTGTTCAAAGTTGAAAGGGATCTCAGAGAACATGTAGTCCAACTGCTTAACCCATTACTGATGAGGAAACTGAGGCACAAAAAGGTAGACCTGTCAAAATTCACACAGGGAGTAAATCTTAATGAAAGGTATGATTCGAACCCAGGTCCCAGAGGACTGCAGTCAGTGCTCGTACCTAGCTGCCTCCAGAATGTAAGCTCCTTGGGCAAGGGAGAGTACAGAGCTCTTACACACAGTAGGCACTTAGTACACGTTTACTAAATTGAATCAATTAATTGATTTAATTGGACAAGATAAGACTCTGTCCGTGTTACGAGGGAACTGGGATAGAAAACAGGCGCCTGGGGAATACACAGGAGGTACGGGCAGTTTAACGCAAAGACCTTCCCCCCCTCCCCCGGCCACCATTCCTCTCTGACATCACGTGTCAGTCTACGCAAGGGCGCCGGCTTTCCTAACGACTAACACTTTGGCCCCGCGTAGTTTTGCTGCACAGGCACAAACGAAGCCCGGAAGACACACACTCCCTTCCACCCTCCCCTCCTCCACGGCAGAAGAATTGCGCAAGCGTAGTGGACGTCGTTGGCCGGGTGTTCCCAGTGCGCACGCGCTCGAGTCCGAGCTTCCGTTCCAGCTTCTATTCTCCTTTCACTTCCTGGTCTTCCTCTCACTCCTTCCGGGTCAACACGGTACGTTCGCATTAGCTGCCTTTACTTGACCCAGGTGGGAAGCGAGAGTTTGGAAGAGCCTCGGCTTCGGGTGCAGTCGAAGTGCTGGGGGCCGGGGCGGCCCCGGGGGAAGCGCGAGCACCATGGTGAGTGAGGGGCGCGGGGGAGCTTAAAGCCACGAACCCCCTCGGGCTCGATGGGGAGAGGTCATTGACCATCAGAAAAAGAGTCCCGGGAGAATGTGTCGATTGTAAGCTCCCTGAAGGCAGGGACTGTCTCTTCTCTCCGGCGCTCGTTGTGCTGTGCCTGACACAGAGCAGGCGCTTCATAGGTGTTGATTGATTAATTGATGGATCCACAAGCGCTTATCCAGCGCCTGCCTTGTGTCAGGAGCAGGGTTAGTACTGGAGACGAAAGGAGACAGTTTCTGCCCTCCTGGAGCGTAAGTTCCACTCCTCTTTCCCCTTTTGAGCCTCAGTTTCCTCTTCTGTCAAACGGACCTTCAAAGCACCTGCATCGTCTGCTAGGTGTGAGAAAAGGGCTGGAGGCTTTGTCTTTTCTTATTCCCCAGAATCTCCCCGGGGACAGTCAGTTCTATTATTCACTCTAGAGCTATTCCACAAGCCAAGTGTTCTCTGATCTGCGCATTTCCCCCCAAAGTTAAGTGTTTGCTGAATTAAATAGTATTTCACCTGTCACTCTTGCTTTGGGGTCGGAGACTGTGTTTGCATGCAGTGAAGTGGCAGCAGAGCAGGATTTGGGGTATGAAGACTTGGGTTTGAATCTCAGCTAATATGTAAAATAGAATTGAGAAGAACACTAGTACTCCCTGTTTTAGGGGGTTATTGCCAGGAAAGTGCTTTGTAGACCTTAAAACACTTGTCTGTCTAAATTAGGAGCTTTTACAGTCCTTCATTTTCTTTGTTCTTTAAAGTACCTTGAAGCTGGGTCCTCTTGTCACTATTCTGTGTACAACTTTAGTAGCTGATCTGCTGTGTACAGCTATATTTAATTCTACAAATGTTTATTGATAATGTTGCACCCTATAGAATATATGAAAAGAGATATGAGCTAACAATCTACTGGGGTTTATCAGAAGTGGGGTAACAGATTTAGAGTTACAAGGGACCTCAAAAGGACCTCTCATCCAACCCCTTCTTTTTATGAATGAGGAAACTGAAGTCAGGAGAGGTTAAATGATGTGCTCAAGTTCACACCGGTAGTAACAGAAACAGGATTTGAATCCACATCCTCTGATTCCAAATCCAGCATTCTTTCCACTGCATCTTCCTGGGTACCCAGTAATTTTTTTGTTGTTCAGTCAGCAAGCATGTATTAAGTGCTTTAAAAGTACATTTAAAAAGTTGATTTAAAACTGTTTTAAAATAAAAGTGCACATTTATTAATGTGCTAGGCACTGGAATAAGTGCTGGAGATACAAAGGAACCCCACCCCCCTTCCAAAAAAAAAAAAAAGGCTCCCTGCTCTCCAAGAGCTCGAAGTCTAATGGAGGAAACATTATGCCAACAGTTAGGAACAAGCCAGATGTATACAGGGTAGTGGGAGATAATCAGCAGAGGATGGCACTACCATTAAGGGGAATCTGGAAAGGCGTCTTGTACAAGTAGTATTTTATTTGGGATTTGAAGGAAGCCAAAGAAGCTCTGAGACAGGGATGAGAAAGAGATTTCCAGGATGAGAATGCCCAGAGTTGGGAGATAGAGTGTCTTGTTTGAGGAAAAGCAAAGAAGCCAGTGTCTGGATTGTAGAATGTGTGGAGGTGAGTAAGGTGTAAGAAGACTAGGAAGATAAATTGGGCCTGGGGGTGGAGGTGAAGCACCTTTTTACAGGACTTTGGTGCCTAGCAGAACTTTATATTTGATTCTGGAGATGCTGGGGGGGCCGCTGGGATTTATTGAATTGAGGGAAAGGTAACATGGTCAGATCTGTGTTTTAGGAAGATTGGTTTGACAGCTAAGTGGAGGATAGACTTGAGCGGGGAGAGCCTTGTGACACACAGGCTTTGTGGTAGTGTGAGTGTGATGTGAGGAGGGCCTGCACCAGGTTGGTGGCAGTGTCAGAGGAGAGAAAGGGGCCATTTATTAGAGATGTGGGACTTGTTTGTAACATGTTACAAACATGTTACAAAGGTAGCGGGACTTGGCAACAGATTGGATATGGGGAATGAGAGAATGAGGAGTCAGGGCTGACACCCAAGTTGTCAGTCTTGGGACTGAGAAGATGGTGGTGCCCTCGAGTAATAGGAAAGTTTGGAAGGGGGAAGGGTGTGAGGGAAGGATAATGAGTTTGATTTTGTGTAGTTTGAGCTTAATATGGCTACAGGATATCCAGTGTGAGATGTCCAACAGGTGTTTGGAGGCGATCTAGTTGTCAGCAGAGAGGTCAGGCCCTGATAAATTGATTTGTGATTCATCAGCTTAGAAATGATAATTAAATCCAAGCAAGCTGATGAGATACCAAGTGAAATAGGATCAAGAGAAAAAAGATAGTCTTGTAAGACACCCACAGTTAGGGGCATCATCTGGATGAAGATCCAGCAAAGGAGACCAAGAAGGAATTGGTTATATAGGTAGATGGAGAAACAGAGTAGAGTGGTGTCCTAAAAACCTAGAGAGAAGAGGGTGATTGACATCGTCTGAGGCTGCGAAGAGGTCAGGGATGAAGATTGAGAAAAAGGCCGTTAGGGTTGGTCATTAAAGAGCACTAGTAACTTTGGAGGCAGCAGTGTTGTTTGAGTGATGTGGCTGGAAGTCAGACTCTACAGAGTTAAGAAGAGAGGAAAGGAAATGGAGGCATCCGGTTTGTTAGATGGCCTTCTCAGGGAGATTAGCTGCAAAGGGCAAGAGAAATATGGGATGATAGCTATCATTACATGGTGGATTAAGTAAGGCTTAGTCCAGCACCATACACCCTATTCCACAATGAACAGATACTAGACCTTAATAGTAAATATCTTACTATAAAAAAAGTTAAAAGAGAAGCAGATCACATATCTCCTACAGCTTTGGGAAGGAGGTGTATTTGGGGGGGGGGGGTGTCGGCGGCTAGGCTTTGGGGTTTGGTGACTTGCCCAGGGTCACACAGCTAATAAGTGTCAAGTGTCTAAGGCTAGATTTGAACTCAGGTCTTCCTGACTCCAGGGCCGGTGCTCTATTCACTGTGCCACCTACCTGCCCCAAGAGGTGTGTTCTTAACCAAACCAGGGATAGAAGCAATTAAAAAAAAGAAAGATAACTAATTACATGAAACTGAAAAGCTTCTGCACAGACAAAATTGATATACTTAGGGTAAGAAGGGAAACAGTCAAATGGGAAAAAATCTTTGTATTAAACTTCTCTGACAAGGGTTTGGTATCTAAGACTTACACAATTTAACAGGTAAGTAGGCATAGATAGATAGATCTATCTATATATAGTTTATGGTTTCAAAAATTAAGATTTTTTTTATTCATCTAACAAAAATGAAATTTCTCTCCTTCCCACCTTCCCTCATCATTGAAATAGAAAAAAGGAGAAACAAACTCTTGTAACTTTCTGCATAGTCAGACTTACCAAATGACCCTTTTTCTCAAGGAGTTTACAGTCTTGTTGGGGAAGCAAAATCTAAAAACACAAAACAAGTACAGTTAAATTTAAATGCTAAACTTTGTGGTATTGACCATACTTTCAGTAGGAATTCAGAGTATGGACCAGAGGTGATAACAGGGAAGGTTTACAAAGGCAAGGGGAAAATCCAAAAGGGTAAAGAAGCTGAGTACCCCACTTGACAGCTCGCTCCACTGTTAACTGCCACTCGGCAATTCCGTATTCTTTCTCTAGGACACTTTGATTCCCCTTTGCAAATCTTATGTCTGAGGAATAGAGTACAGTATTAAATTACAAATTATTTGAATACCATTCTACTCTTTCCTATTTTATAATAATTCTGAAGTTTCTTATTTAAGAATGCTTTTCAATCACTCAGTGTGGGGGTCAGTCTGGATCCTAGAGGGAGGTCATTCCTGAATTTTGTTACCTTATCATTTTGATTCACAATTTAATGGGCCCTCTTTTCTGTTTGTATTTATGTACCCTTCTTGTGTTATGCAAAACTGTACTCAGTTAAGCAATATGTTAAATATGGACACTCTTTCTTCTCTCCATAGGCTCGAAATGCAGAAAAGGCCATGTAAGTACCAGTTTTTTTCCAAATTGAAATATCTTTCTGGAGCTTGTTTGTATTGTAGTTGTCACTTTAGATTAGGAGAGCTTTCAGTGTCATTATCTTTATATACCCTTTGCATACTGGTTAAACCAGCCAGTGAAGCAGACTTTAGAAAAATCTTCCATCCATTCCCTAATTCACTAGTGTGTCCTTTTCATCACCATTTCTTTTTAATGTTTAGTACTCAGCCAACAGAACTTCAAGTGGGTTAGCAGTGCGTTTCACTTTCTGGGGAAAGCCTTATAGAGAGTGGGAATTCCTAGAGTAGCTATTCAAGATCAAGTTATTCTTATTACCAGAAATAGAGAGATACAAACCCACTAAAGGCTATACTGCTTCCCTGTTCCTTACAGTAGCTCATAGTTGTGTAAATTTGTGACCCTTAAAATAAAGATACTAGTATCTGGAGTGATGGTTGTCCAAGCCCCAGAATTCCTGACAACTTGGAATGTCCCACAACTACCTTCTTGCCACTGCTTAGTCATTGTACGTTTTTTTTTTGGTCATTATGTGCATGAGTAGTTTAGACTCTGATGCTGAATTAGGGTTATCCACTTGACTCACAACTGGTCAACTTAATGGGAAATCTTTGAAAGTAAACTCATGGAATTTCCTCTTCCACTTTTAGGACGGCCTTGGCGAGATTTCGCCAAGCTCAACTTGAAGAAGGGAAAGTTAAGGTTGGTTTACATTATTTTTATTTGTTAAATTAGGATGTGTTATAAATAGATTCCATTAGTTTTCACTCTTGGCCAAGTTTGACATTCGCTGCCTCAGAATTCCTATGTGGTCTCTACTGTATTCATAATATTTGAAGGTCTTATGGGTTCTCATATTTGAGTTCCAATTTCTGATACCATCTGTAACTAATGAGCTAGTTAAGAATCAAAAATTACCAAATGTGATGAGATCCATGGTTCAGCTAGCCCACCATTCTGTCTCTGATGGTGGCAGTAGATGGCCATGGTGGCTTCAACCAAAATATACTTTATTTATTTATTTTTAGGCAATTGAGGTTAAGTGACTTGCCCAGGGTCACACAGCTAGTAAGTGTCAGGTGTTTGGTATGAGGCCGGATTTGAACTTAGGTCCTCCTGACTTCAGGGCCGGTGTTCTCTCCACTGTACCGCCTAGCTGCGCCCTAAAATATACTTTAAAAGAAACCCCCAGACTCTCCTTCCTTCAGTTATAGCTGGTGGGAAATCAGGTTAAGGAAAGAGAAGAAGTTCAGAAACATAAGTTGAAGACCTAAAGCAGATGTGCCTGAAATAAACTCAGTAAGTCAGGCTGAGGACAAGGACCTTTTGCTTGAATTAAAACTCATAATAAGTAGGTTTGAGATTGCCAAATGTGGGGGCTCCCCACGATTGTAGCCAATTGTTAAGATCATAAGAGTTTTGGAATACATGCAGCATCACCATCAATATTTTTTTCCCATTCAGGAACGAAGACCTTTTCTTGCCTCTGAATGTAATGAGCTACCTAAAGCTGAGAAATGGCGACGACAGGTATGTTTGGTGTAGATGAGTATTTATTTGTCACAGAATTCAACAACTAGTGGTTCTATCAGAAACGAATGTGGAGGATATGGATATGTGCTAGTGACTCCAGTTTAGTATCTCAGTGATCTCATTGGAGTGGCATATGGATGTTGCTGCCCATTTTAAGATTCACTGTTCGAAAAGGAAAGCACCTTAGCATTCCCTTCATTTTACAGATGAGGAAACTAAGACCCAGAAAGGTTGATGGGAGACCTTGTTTTTATTCAGCTCTGTGGTCTGATATGGTATTCTTTTCACTGCTTTCAGCACTGTTGATATGATTAAATACTGGAATATTGTTCCTCTTTCCTCCACTAAGATCTTACTCCAATGTAGTCTTATGGTATTGAGGTGACCCTAAGTTCTAAAAGGTTGTTTTTCCTGGAGTACACATTTTTCTGGTTCTACCAACCTGGAAGGACTGCACATTGGCCTAGTAGCAAATTGTGTCTGTTGTCCTTTGACCATCCTAACTAAATTTAAGGAAGACTCATCAGTAGAAGGCTGACTCACCAGCTGGATGATTGATTTATTTATTTATTTATCTGTCTGTCTATTTATTTAGGTCATAGCAACTCATGAAAATTGTCTACTAGGCTAAGGCACTGAGAAGTATTAGTTTACCTCATTGGAAGGATGCATATCCATACCAATGAAATTCTGAAAGTATTGTTTGTATTTCATTACTCTTGAGCTTTCCATTCTAGGTGGTGATTTTAAAAAAGAAGCTTAATTTAACCATAGCAAAAACTGTGACCTGAAAATTGGTACAATTTGAAGGAAAGCCTACATTTTCCAATTTGAAGGAAAGTGATTTAATTAAATTTGTCAACTCTTATGAAAACTTAAAGATGCATTTAGCAAAAGTTTTTTTTAAGTCCTGTATTACCTCTATAAAGTTATCTTTCTTAGTGGTATCAAAAGTGTGCAAAAATACTTTTGTTTGTTGCAGATTATTGGGGAGATCTCAAAAAAAGTGGCACAAATTCAAAATGGTAAGCTAGATTTTATTCTTAATTCGGCACATTTATTTAGTACTGGCAAAGGTGAAAAACAAACAGTTCATACCTTCAGAGAGCTTGCATTTTAGTGGGAGATAAGATGTGACTCTAAGTATAAGTTAATGGGTTTTATTCACTGTACCTTATAGTTGGGCTCAGATTGGATACACTGGGGTTTAAATAAATGAGGCACAGACCCAGAGTAGAGGGTATGGGAAAAGGCAGTGGGAAGAATCCAGCTGGGGAATATATATCTTCCCTGGTTTGGAGAGGAGAATCAGCCAGTCAACAGTCATTCAATAATCGTCTTCTGTATGTGGAGCATGGGCTAAATGTTGAGGACCCAAAGAAAAGCAAAATCGGTTTGAATCAAATTCAGGGTGTGTTATAGGTGGGTCTCAATGTGGCCTAATTTGCCAGCTGAATATCCTCCTATCTTATCTGAGCTTATTGGTGGTTTTGAAAAATAGAGTCACTTGATTACTTGAATATTCCTCATCTTACAGGCTTAGATGTTTCCTGTTTAACCTGTTTCTGTGGAGTTAATGATATAATATATTTTGTTTTCACATGTTTCCCGAGTGTTGGAGAAGGTAGTTAGTTTTATTAACCTTTTCAGATCAATGTACAAGTTTCTTCCATGATGAATTTTGTTAGCAGAGGTGATTTTTGCTCATGGAAGAATGAATGTTGTCTTTTCCCTGATTCCTAAATGTTTTTTGCAACTGTAGCTCATATAATGTCCTAATAACCAGGGCCAGCAAAGTGAGAGCTTCCCCCCACTGATGTACTTACTGCTTGAAATCAGATCAGTCACGCAAAGATTGGGTGACTCAGTGTGTTACCCCTCTCTCTGTACCAAAATGTTAGAAAAAAACAGAAAGCCATGCCTTTCTTATGGTGGAATTTCAGGGATTTGTATTATGGTGGAGAGGGCATTGTAATGCAGCAGCACCTTGGTGGCTATAACTTTAGGGTAGGCACAGACATTAACCACAGAAATTCTGTATAGTGTGTCTTGGATATGAATCACATGCCCACCTTTCCTTACTTGTCAAGTAAGGGAGCAGCAATGTGCTTTATATACTTCCCTTCCTTTGGACGGTTTCCCGAGTGTTTACTGCAGTGACTTACTCTGGTAGTGATAGAGTTAAAGATGAGGCAACATTAGGGAAAGTTCTTAAGATTATAGATTTGATATAAGAGATGTTCTTTCCTTCTCAATAAGACCTAAATGGGGGAAACTTTTTTTTTTAAATTATAATAGAACTAAAATTTTTAATGTTTTTATTTTTAGCTGGTTTAGGCGAATTCAGAATTCGAGACCTGAATGATGAAATTAATAAACTCCTAAGAGAGAAAGGACACTGGGAGGTTCGGATAAAGGAGCTGGGAGGTCCTGATTATGGAGTAAGTGAAATGAAACTTTAGTAAAATTTGTTGAAAAAGTATATCTTGGATAAAGAAAATTCACAAAAGGATGAAAAGAATAACTTTAAAAATTATTACATCCACTGACTTTTCAATGTAATATTTTTTAAAGTCCCCATTCAGCGTTTGAAATTCATTGAATTCACACAGCCCAAGGAAAGTGATGGACCTCTGTGTTTCATCAAGATGCTTACCAAGCTCAGTGCTTCTAGGATCCGGACCTCTTCCTATACCTTGTCTCAAAGAGCCAACAATAGTTGCCCAGAGGACTTGAATTTGGACCTGAGGTTCGTTGCTCTGAAGGCAGCAGCTATGGACATCTTGGGTAGATGAGCTAGTGGTATTCCAGTTCCAAGCTGGCAAACGTCTATGATGGCTTTTCCTTTAGAGTAGCCAAGTGAAAGTAAGCAAAGCCAATACACACAACAACTACAACAGTACACTGTTGTAAATATCAAATTCCTTCTGTCAGTCCTCATATGACAAACTCAAGGCCCTTCACTTTTCTGATTGCCCTCCTCTGTACACTTCCAACCTGTCAATGTCCTTCTTAAACCATGGCACCCATATCTGCATATGATATTATTTCAGGTAAGACTTGGTAAAGGCAGAGTATAGTCAGGCTATCATCTCCTTCCTTGTTCCTGGAAACCATGCCTCTTATAATGCAATCAAAGTGTAAATCATCTCCATTAAACTGCTGGTTCATTGAGCTTGTTGTAGTCCATTAAAACCTCCAGATCTTTTTCAGAATACCTCCTGTCTATCTGTGCCTCCCCGCTCGTATTTTTTTTTTTTGTACCCAAGTTAACTTTATATTTATCCCTCTTGAATTTTATCTTATTAGATTCAACCCATTGATATAGTTTTTCAAGATATTGGATGCTAACTGCCATTCAGTGATTGGCTTTGTGTCATCTGCAAATTTGGTGATCATACCATCTAGGCCTTTGTCTGAGTCATTGATAAACAGCACGATGCCAAGCACAGATCCTTGAGGTGTTCCGCTATAGACTTCCTACCATGTTGACATTGAGCCTTTAACAGTTGCTGTTTGAATTTGGCTATCCAGCTAGCTCTGAATCCCTCCGATTATATTATTTTCTGATCCATTCTCAGGTTTCTCTTCATTTCTAATAAATCTTTTGCCTTTTGTCTAATCCATATCTCTCCATCTTTTCTATAAGAATATTATCAGGTATCTAAAGTTCTGCTGAAATCTAGGTAAACTATATCCATGGCATTCCCCTCACCTTCTGGTTTAGTAGTAATTCTGTCAAAAAAGGAAATGAGGTTAATCTGACCTGACCTGTTCTTTATAAAACTTTGTTGGCTCTTTGTAATCACAGCCTCCCTTTGTAGATAGATATTTACCAGCTAGCTCTTCAATGGTCCGTTCTAGAGTTTCCCCGTGAATCAAAGTCAGATTTACTAGCCTATAGTTTGCAAATTCTATTCTCTTTTCATTTCAAAAAAAATCTCCAATCTTAATGACATTTCTGTTTTCCATGGTCTTTCAGTTATCACTGATTCGGCAATTATATATGCCAGCTTTGAGGCCTAGAAGACACCTTTCATCTGGGCCAGATTACTTGAATTACTTGAAGGGCAGTTCGGCTTTCTCTTACAACTATCTCCTGACTGATCCTGGGTAGCAGTTCTCTGTTAGTTTTTGGGGTTTTTTTTTGGTTGTTGTTGTTGTTATTGTTCTGTTAGTTCTAGTGTAAAGAAAGAGAAAACTAAAACAAAAGGAGAATTGAGCACCTTTCCCTTTTCTTTGTTGTCAGTCTTCATCATCCCATTCACTCTCAGAAAAGGTTTTTCCTTTCTTTGACTCCTTCCCCCCCACCCCCCATATAGCTAAAAAGCAAAACAAAACCCAAACCCTTTTTTTTGTAGTTAGCTTTCCTCACCACCCTTAGCTCATTCTTAGCCTTAGCATACCTGACACCATTTTTGTAGGACTATGTCATGTTCTTAAATTCATTTTGTGTTACCTGGCCTTGCTTCCATCTTCTGGATATTTCTTTTTTTAAGACCTAAGTTGGCTGTTTAGTTCCATATGTATCCACATTGATCTCTTCAGACAGATCCCATTTTTCCTTTTCATTGGAATTGATACACTTTATGTCTTAGCATCTGCCATCCTTTGGGGCTGATTTCACTGAAGCATTTTACTCCATGGGATCTTATATCTTTCTTCTGAACTCTTTGAAATCTGCTTTTCCAAAATCTAAGATACATGTCAGACTGCCAGATTTTTTCTCCTTCTCTATCACAAACTCTGGGTTGGAATGGTCACTCCCCTGCCAAGGTTCCCATCAGTTCTACCCCAGCAGCCAGTACCTTCTTGTTAGTAAAAGTCAGATCCAGAATAGAGTTTTCACTTCTTGATTCCTCTGCTTTTTGAAGGATGAAATTATCACTAAGGCAATTCAAGAGATATTTAACTGTTCTGTCTTTGGCAGAAAGAGAGCTCCAGCAGATGTCTGGATAATTGAAGTGTCTCATCACTGCTACATTCATGCTTTTGTGCCATATTTATGATTTGTTACCCAAACTACTCATCTATTTCCTCTTTCTGTCCCTGTGGTGTAGTTTATACCAATGACAGTCCCTTCTCTTTCTCCATCTTTTGACCATTACCCAGATATTATCTCAACCCCATTATGTTTTCTCCTTTTTTTTTCCTGGTTTTCCATACATGAATTATGCCACCATCCTCTCCCCATCACAATTCCTTTTTTTTTCTTGACAGTTCTTTTTCTTTTGGATAAAATATACCCATTCAAAGCCATAGTCCAGTTATGGATTTCATCCCCTTCCAAGTCTCGTTGATACCCATAATGTCAAATATGTTTCTTTGTATTGGGGTCTTTGAGTTCACCTTATTTGTTGCCTAAACTTTGAGCATTTGAGTATACGCTTAAGAGGCTATGGGCTTTTATTACTTTCTTCTTTCTTGTATTTTGCCTTCCATGAATTTGTTGAAATCTTAGCTGCTATTCCTTTTTAGTTACTCCCTATAATGTCTAACTTGGGTACTCTACAAAGATGACGTTCGTTCTCCCTCTACTATCCTTTTTAGCTTAAAGTCCTTTTGATTGGATTGCAAAACACCTAGCAAATACATTCTCACCAGCATTTGATGTATACTTCATCTCTCTTTCTTCTTCTTTTTTTTTTTTTTTTTTTAGGCAGTTGGGGTTAAGTGACTTGCTCAGGGTCACACAGCTAGTGTCAAGTATTTGGTCTGAGGGCGGATTTGAACTCAAGTCCTCCTGACTTCAGGGCCAGTGCTGTATCCACTGCGCCACCTAGCTGCCCCCTGTACTTCATCTCTTACCAGGGATCTGTCAGTCCTGTTGTAGCAGTGATAACAGAATACTATATCTCATTCTTGGATACTACCAACTAAGCCACAGCTATTCACATCCTAAATTAATTTTTTTTTTCTTCCGTATACTTTGCCTTCGGTGGGTAAAATTGAGGGAAAAACAACCTGTGTCCTTATGGCCTTAAGTTTTTTGCCCAAGACTTAATACTTTTGAAGTTCCTTTCTGGAACTGTCCTTTGTACCAGTATCAGTCACCATCTGTTTCGATAAGCCTAGGGAGTTTTTTTAGAATGTCTTGGATACATGCCCTAGGAATATAACAGACTCTCTGTTGTTGTTAGCAGCTGGACAAATAATTGTCTTAATACCCCTGAGCAGGAAATTGTCACCAATTACTCCTGCTCTTGTCTCTTTCCCCTGCTCCAAATGGATGTCATCTCACCTGATGGTGTCCGTGGTTTTGCTGTGGCATTCTTGGGAGGATGAGCTGCTTCTTTTTCCTTGGAATATCCAGCTCTTTCCTCTTTATGAAGATCTCCTCTTCTTCCCAGTATCTTGTCTGTGGTCAGATCTTCCCTCCTTCACCTCAGAACCCTTTTTCTCCATTAAAGCATTGATCTGTTTCCTTTAAAAATCTTCATCCTGCCTAACAGCCAGAGGCAAGGGGCGGCGCATTTTTCTCTACCCTTTCCTTTCTCTGGGATGTAGCGGAGCCCCCACTCACAGCCCCAAGGGGTCACGCAGCTGGGCTCTGCAGTGGTCAAGATCTTCAGCCTCATTTCTTAAAATTACTTGTGGTGCTTACACCTCAGCCCTGAGCGCTTGCTTAGAAGTTTCTATAGCCCCTTACTAATTTTTAAAAGTTAAAACTGTTTTTAACCAATTTGCCCCCCCCACCAATGCACTTTGTCAGCTAACTTTCTATTTCTTCTACTTACCTTTTCTGACCTATCTGGCCTGGCCTTGTCAACTAGCTTCTCCTTATCCTCAGGCGTCACTGCTTAATGATATTTTATCCTCCTTCATCCTTTTGTAGTCCCTTAATTGTCTTTGATTTTGGCCTTGAGATTGGACTCCTACAAAATTTTCTTCAGTTTCTTCTCTGCAGATTAAGTTTACATCACTAGTCCATGTCCTCTCCAAGTTTCCCTCATGATTTCCTTCTCCTCTGGCTCAAGTCATTTTTTCACCTTTCTCCTCCTGCAACCTTCTCCTATAGAAGCTAGAAGTTCAAAGTGATTTTATTCCATTATTTTTACAGGGATAAAAGAAATACGTAATATTTTGCCATTTCAAAGTCTTGTCACTTCTTGAACAAATGGAGTGTTTTGAAAAAGTGACTATTCATTATCTTAAAGAGAGTAGGTAGAAAAGAGTTTGCTGTGGCCCAGTAGATTGTGTCTTTGTCTTACCATACATCTGGCACTTTAAATTTAAAGGGCATAGATTAATCACTTTTTATGTGACAGGCTTCGTGCTGGTGCTTAGGATACAAAGACAAAAGCAGAAGTAGTCTTTGTCCACAAGGAGCTGGCAGTCTATGAATTTTGGTGAATATTCTGTACCTTGCTGTGTCAACCTATAAGTTTATCTGTTAGGATTTGTTTGAAGACTTCATAAACATTAGGGCGAAAGGACCTTCTTGGAGAACTTTTTTTAATGAGACCTTTTCTTTTCTTTCTTTTTTCTTTTTTTTTGATATAAGAAAGTTGGCCCTAAAATGTTAGACCATGAAGGGAAAGAGGTTCCAGGAAATCGAGGTTACAAATATTTTGGAGCAGCTAAAGACTTACCGGGTGTCAGAGAGCTTTTTGAAAAAGAGCGTAAGTAACTTCATACATACTTTATTTGTACAATTTTATTGATAACTCTAGTTTCAATATTTGGGGTTCTTCAGTTCCAGTATAGGACTTAGAATAGGGTCTGAGTTTCTTTTGACTTCTCGGCATTATGTACCGAACTTCTGTACTTTGTACTTCAGTTTGCACAGTTATGTGAGTTTAAAAGCAAAAAGTGAGGAAAAAAGCTTAGGTATATCTTAATATGTAGTTGTTGTTTTCAAGTTGTGAATTGACTTGAGAAGGCGGCCTGCTCTAATGGGAAGAGCATGAGAGGAAGACTTGGAGGCTGGCTTAGGGCCTGGAAGTCCTCAGACCTGACTCATTCCCCTGTGACTTTGAGGACATCACTCCATCTCTCCAGGCACCAATTTCCTCATCTGAAAAATAATGGGGTTAGGACTCTATGATCTTGTAGGTCCCTTTTGACTTTAAAATGCTGTAATTTTATAAATCATGTGGTTATTCATTTCCTAAATTCTCTTTTATAGGTTTGAATTTTTTTTCTATAGGGTATTAGAGTGAGCATGTGTGTCTAAGAGTGGGAGGATAATTATAGTTTGGTATAATTCATATTCCATTAGATTGTGGGCTCCTTTTTTTGTATCCCCAGTGCTTAGCGTAAGTACCTAGCACATGGTAGGTGATTAATAAATGCTTATTGATTGACAGTGCCTCAAATATTTTATGGGTCTGGGTACACCCCTTACTAAAACATACACAAAATGTTCCATAATTTAATAGATGGCCTTCACAGGGTGTAACTAATAAGATTCATCTCCCTGCATTTGCCTTTCTAGCTTTGGTAAAATGGTCTGAGTACAAGCTTCATTGTTTGGCTTTTGAGAACCCAGCTTTTCCTCCCTCCCCCACTTCTCCCCCATGCTGGGGTATTGGAGGAAGTCTGGAGGGCTGGAATGTTTATTAAGCTGTTGTAGAAACTGGGCACGTCAGAGGAAAGGTGTGGTGCTGAATCTTAGTTTCTTGGTAAATACTTGAGTTCTATATTGTAATGTAGGATCATAGGATTAAAAGTTGGAAAGGACCTTAAATCTTATCTGGCCCAAGTTCTCATGTATCAGATGAGGAAACTTCATCCTAGAAAGATGAAAGGACTTGTCCCGTTTTGGGAATTTCCACTGCAGTGTTTATTTTGATTGAAGAAAAGTACAAACTCAGTCAGTAGGCATGGGTTAAGTGCCTCCTTTGGGTGGCATCCATCTGTATCTCTCTGAAATTACCTAAGGATCAGTTAAGAGAGGCAGAGACTATAAGACCAAGTGTCTGGTGTACGACATTACATTCTAGAAATTTAGTGTGAACCAAATGTTGGTATTTCTTCCCAGTTAAAGCTTTTATTTTTATGGAACAAGGTGACTTTGTGGCTGTTGTTTCTTTTAGCCCTTCCTCCTCCAAGGAAGACTCGAGCTGAACTCATGAAAGCTATCGATGCTGAATACTATGGTTACCGAGATGAAGATGATGGCATTTTGGAACCTTTAGAGCAGGAGCGTGAAAAGAAAGGTAAATAGATAGATGGCCGTTTGAATAGCATCTTTCTATTCTTTTTTAATACTTTATTTTAACATTAATATTTTTTAAAAATTTTGAGTTCCAAATTCTCTCCTTCCCTCCAGCCCCTCCCCCAACCATTGAGAAGGCAAGCAATATATCATCAGTTATACATGTGAAGTCATACAAAATACATTTCCATATTAGCTGAGTTGCAAAAACAAAAATAAACAAGAAAAGTAAAGTAGAAGAAAAAAGTCTTTCCATTTGTCTTCAGAGCTAATCAGTTCTCTCTTTAGGTGGATGGCAGTTTTCATCCTGGGTCCTTTTGAATAGTCTTGATCAGAGTGGCTATGTCTTTCACAGTTGATCATCCCTACAATATTGCCTTTACTGTGTTCAACAATCTGGTTCTGCTCACTTTACTTTGCGTCAGTTTATACAGGTCTTCCCAAATATTTCTGAAGCCATCCCCCTAGTCATTTCTTATAACACAGTAGCATCCCATCACAATCATACACCACAATTTGTTCTGCTTTTCCCCAGTTGAACAGCCTCTGAGTTTCTACTCTAAACTGAAACATGTTGTAAAATACTTATTTGTAACTTCAGATAAATTTCGTGTTTTTTTTTTAGTAAAAATATTAATAATAATTACTTACATTTATGTGACACTTTAAAATTGAAAAGCATTTTGCATACATTATTAAAATCATAACAGCCCATGGATACCTCCCGTGATTATCTTGTCCAACCCTTTCCACAGCATCCATGATAGGTGGAGACAGGAAAATCTGAGTTTAAATATGACTGTAGTCACTTAATATTTATATGACCCTAGACAATTCACTTCACTTTCATTTGCCTTAGGTTTCTTGTCTATAAAATGTGGATACTGGTAGCACCTACCTCAAAAGGGATTGTGTAAAGATCAAAGGAGATAACATTTGTAAAATGCTTAGTATAGTGCCTGGCACATAGTAGGTGCTACATAAATTATTGTTGTTATTATTATCCAGACTGTGCTTGAAGATGGCCTGTGATGGAGAACATGCTGTACTACCTCTCAGGAAGCCTGTTCTTTTTTATGTTGAGGTGAACTCTGCCCCTCGTAACTTAGTCCTGACTTTGTGGGACTAAAGAATACATCCAATCCCTCCTCTGTGTATGTGAAGACATCTCTCCTGTCCCCACCATGTCTTCTTCACCCTCAATATGTGGCTTTTCTTTTGACTCCCCCTTGTATGACGTGGTTTTCAGTTTCCTTATCATTCCTTGGCAAATGAGCCTCTGAACATGTACCAGACCACTAACTGTAGTGAGCCACCCACATGTGGTCTGAGCAAAAGGTATATAGAGACTAGCCATCATCTCCCTTTCTGGACACTCAAATTAGGGGCATTCACTACAGTGGTTTGCATTAAGGTTTTGTGTGAATTCAAGGATTTAGTTTATTTCTTCTGTTAGGTGGTAAAAACTTTTCCAAATAACTGATTAGGTGGTAACTCAGTGTCCCTGATGTTTAGAGAACCCATGTCCAAAACTTGGGGGGGGGGGGGGGGGGGGGCGCGCGGGCCCATGGTTTATTAGAGGAGATTTGTTGTAGCTGGCTGGAGATTGGGGGAGGGTGCTGCAGTGCTCACCTCTGCACTCAGATGTAAATGAGACGTGTGGCAGCACTCACAAAAACGGGTTCCCACTTTTCCTTTTTTGTGCAGGAAAAGTTCCATCTCTGACATAGGTTGGGGTGCTCCTTCCTTTTCAGGAGATCCAAAATGGTGATTGGGAAGGAGCAAGATATCACCTGGTACCTCCCTGGGAGAGTTGTGAGTTGAGATCTGCAGGGATTGGTGGAAGGGGATGAGAATAGGTGATTGAAATGTTGCCCAGTCTGCGTGATGCTGGCTAACTAGGGGGATGGGAAGGGTCTGAGGGTCCTAAGTCAGATGAGGAGATTTGAGAGCAGATAGGCCACTTATCTATAAAGTTAGAATCAGATGTCTTCTCAGCTTGTGTTAGGGAGAAAAAGAAAGTGAGAAACAACAAAAACTACATAGGTATATGGGATAGTAAACAGTTATGATTACTTTAGGTGTGCATCCCAGCTTCTGACTCTTAGGTTACCAGGCCAGTGCCAAGAATCATAGGACCTTAGGTTATTCTTTCACGTGAGTGTCAAAGAGCCTCAAAGGGAGGTTCTTAGAACTTTTGCCCTTGAAATTCTACATCTGAATGTTAACTCATATTCCATCAGGAATGGAGAGAGAACTTTTTAATGTACAAAGATCCTAACAAGAGTAGAAAGACCTCAATCCTCAGTGATTAATATTGCTACGTATAAATGGGTGTGTGCATTTAGCAATTCTTGAGCAAATAATATACATTAATTTGCATTCCCAGTGGGAGGGAATCATCCAGTTCTAAAATTTCAAAAAGCCAACGTAGACTGATGCATATTATAAGAAAGATCATAGGAGCTGCAAACCAGACACTGATATCAGTCTTGCCTGTCGCAGTTAAGTAGATCCTGCAGTAACATGGTACTTCTGTTAGTGTCTCCTAAGATAGTATTAGGGTTTTGTTTTTTTTTTATCTCATGATCTTTAGAATAAGCTGTAAATTAGCTAGCATAAGCCCCATTTTACCGATAAGGAAAGAAATAGGCTAAATCAGGGGTGGGGAACGTGTGTCTCTCTAGGTCCTAAAGTGCGGCCCTTTGACTGAATCCAAACTTCGTGAAGTCAGAGGGCCACACTTGAGGACCTAATGGGCCTCATGTTCCCCACTCTTAGGGGGAACAAGTTGTTGTCCTACATTGTCAAATGCTCTGCTTCTTAAAGCTCTTCCACATCCATTATCTCATATTCCCATTTGATCTCATAGGAACAATGTTTCCTTTTGCACAGATAAAGAAATTGAGGTCCAGAGGTATTTGTTTAGAAAAAGGGAAGGGGAACAAGCATTTATCGGGTACCTCATCTGTGCCAGGCATGGTGCTGAGCCCATTACAAATATCATCGCGGTTTTTTGAGGCCTTTTGCTTTACATCGTAGCCATTTCCAAAAATCTCTGCCCAGGAGTTATAAGTGATTGGCCTGATTCATTCAGCTAGGATTAAAATTCTAATAATAATTGACTGTAATATTAATAACTGATTCTTACATAGTATTTTAAAGTTTGTAAAACACTTTAGGGGAAGGAAATAAGCATTTTTTCTCCATTACTTGTAAACAAACATTTATAGTTCCATGTAAACAAACATTTTTGACATTCATTTTTAAAGTTTTGAGTTTCATATTCTCTCCCTTCTTCCCCTCCCCCCTTCCTTAAGAAGGCAAGCAATTTTATATAGATTATGCATGTGCAGTCATACAAAACGTTTCCATATTAGCCATGTTGCAAAAGAAAATACAGACCAAAAAAACCCACAAAAATAATAAAGTTGAAAAAATATGCTTCAGTCTGCATTGTCTTCATCAGTTCTTTTGGAATAAGCATTTATTAAGCACCTACTGTGTGCCAGGCACCCTGCTAAGTGCTTCATGGATATTAACTCCTTTGATCTGACTTTGAATACAAATGCTATGAGCTATCATCCTCATTCTTTAAATGACAGAACAAATGTTCACAGAGGAGTTAGACTTCTTGCTCAGAGACACTTGGCCACCCTCAGAGGCAGGCCTTGACTGAGTCTGGTCTTGGTTTGAATCTGACCCTTCTCTCCACGGGGGTGGGGGGGGGTTGCCCTGCAGCATTCAGGTGAAACCTTTCTCCTAGACAGCCTGGTCACTTGCAGCCCAGTTTATAGGCACCAGAAGGTGAGCGTGAAGGGCATTTGAGTCATTATCCTTTAGAGAGTTCTCCCCCTTACTGGTCGTCTGGAGCTCTGGGGGTTTGTATACACTCAGCATCACCGGTTCTTCAGCTTGTGCATTAACAGCCTCCACTGAATGGTCACCTTTGGTTAGGACTTGACCTCCAACGACCTTTCCCAGGCTGCCCCTGCACAGGCCATTTGGGGTGTTTGAAATGTCCCCCTTCTCCCTTGTGGCTGAGCTCACGGCTGAGGCCCCTTACAGCTGTGCTCTGCTCTCTTGTCTCTGATGGCGGCTTCCACTTAATCCATTCATTCCACCAGAGCTCTCCTATGTTTGGAAGGCTGATTTCCTCATGGAACAAGTTACTCTTAAGTATGTGTGAAAAACCAGCCTTACTTTGAGTTCCTTTGTGTGTAATTCTGTGGAGATCTGTTCCTTCCTATGCTTACATCTTTTCTTGAAATTTGTTCATTTATTCTTGTGTCTCTCTCACTTTTTAGGGCCCCCCCATTTTATATACGATGTAAACACCCTGATACCATGGCTGCATCTGTTCCTTCTCCCAGCTTGTTTCACTTACTCCACCTAACACTTACTACAGGACTTTAAGCATAAATTAAATACAGTTGTTGACTCTTTGAGAATGACCTTTGTTCATCCTGTTTTTGAGTGTCAGGGCTAGGGCAGGAACGGTCTGTCACAGGCTGGGCACCAGAAGGCGTGTTCCCTTCTGTGTCTGTGTCCCTCACCTCTGCGTCAGGAGGTGGGGAGCACGGCTCATCACTGGTCTCTGGAGTTAGGCTTGGCCATTGCAGTAATCAGAGTGCTTAGATCCCTCAAGACTGTTTGTCTTTACTCTCCACTTCTGATACCCAGGCCACTCTTTCTGTCCACTGGATACCTGGGGTGACCCACTGGTACCTAGCCTTCGTTTTTTTGCCCCCATCAGAATTTTCTCCATTGAGTACATTTAATACATTTGCCAAACTTACTTGGCTGTTTGGAATCAAAGGGATCTTCGTTTGCATCCCAGATCCAACCTTGAACAAGTCACCAGATATCTCTGGGCTTCATTTTGTCCATCTATAAAACATGAAATGAAAAAGTGTGGACTAGATGACCTTCCTTTATAGCTCTAAAAAACCTGATCCTATAATGAGATAAGGGAAAAGGAAATTGAGCTGTGTGGTGACCATACCTTTTTTCATTCTACATCTGATTACTTTGAAAGTACGAAAAGGTAATCAATTGCTTAACTTCCAGATCTGTTTATATGTCAGATTGTTAATATAAAAGGGAGAATCAAGAGAAAGGTAACTGAAGCATATCTTCAAAATGTATATCTCAGAAACAAATATTTGAAGTGTCACAGAAAGTGAGGGCTCTGCATTCATTCAGCAAACATTCAGGATCTGTAGTAATGCACACATCATAGGTAAGTAATGGTCATGGAAAAAATACTAGTTCACTTAGTGATTGGTGCCCCCTTATATACTTTTTCATGGCTGTTTTCCCACAGGTAAGTTGATAGTTAACTGAATCATTGAACTGGATAGAATTGGAGCATCTTGACCACAGAATTGCTTCGTGATGTGTTTGTAGGTCAGGAAGTTCAGAACAAAGACCAGCATCAGCCTAGGTGGTCATTCACTCATGTGTCTCTCTCTCTCTCTCCTCCCAGTAGCACAACTGGAGAAGGTTCTTCTTTTGATTCTGAATAAACTTAGACCTCTAGAAGGGGAACTGAATAACACTTGTTCTTCTTGTGCTCAATCAGTCATAGCAGAAGCAGTAGAAAAGTGGAAAGCTGAACGAGAGGCCCGGCTTGCACGCGGTGACAAAGAAGAGGAGGAAGAGGAAATAAACATCTATGCTGTGAATGATGATGAGGTATTGTGGCAAAGGGATGAGCCGCTCACCTTCAGTTTCTGTTTGGTCCCTTTGAGATCAATATCGTTGGTTGTCAAAGAACTGTGTTTTTTTTATTGTTTGCACGAAAACATTTGGGATCTGTACAACATGAAGTCTTTTCATTAAATCAAGCTCAGCCCATTACCAAAGGTGTTGAAATGAGTCAACATTTTAAACTGTAAAAAACCTTGGAAATCACAGAGTCCATCTCTCTCATTTCATAGATGGAAAGCTGAGGCCCAGCCCAGAGGAGTAAATGACTTCTCTGAACATGGGGAATGAGATCATATAGTCTTTTAGGAATGTTACACTTGTGTTATGCAGGATGGGTAGGAGACTGTAGAAACTGAAGGCAGATACCCAAATGCAGTGATGGTAGGAATCAGCAGACCTAGACAGTCACAGCCAGAGAACCAACCTCAGCTCTGGCCCGAGCTGCATTAGGGAAGGAAGCTTGTTCCTGTTGGCCGACTTGACACAGGGAAAGTGGGAAGCATTGGAAGGCCCAGGAAAACTAAAATTTAGGCCTCCTGCTAGAGAATGGATTAAGTCAGAAATGCAGATCCTGACGGTGAGCAAAGCTTAGGCTTCTGGAGCTCTAGGCACAGCATTTTAAAAAAACAGGGACATCATTTTTCTGGCACATGTGGTACTTTTAAGGTGAGACAGTAATTGGGGTAGTTGTGTTGGGTGGTTTGTGAAGTACATTGTCCATTTTCTAGTCCGACGAGGAGAGTGCCAAAGAGAAAGAAGGAGAAGAAGGGCAGCAGAAATTTATCGCTCACGTCCCAGTGCCCTCCCAGCAGGAGGTAAGGAGTCGACTTGTGCAGTTGTGGCCTCCGAGGGAAGAGTTTTCTTTCAAAACATGTCACCAAATCCCCCGAGCCATGTTTGTGTACAGAGTGCACACAGATCAGTCTTTGTTTTCCTTTCCCTCATGCTCCAAGGACCTGATTTCTCTCCCTCTATCATCAGCTACTTTCTAAAAATAATGATAGCATCTGTTTATACTTTACTCCCAATGGCCTTCTTCAGAAGGAGCTTGGCTAAGGCGTGGCTCAGGCAGAGGTGTCTTTCTTGCTTTGGTGCCTATTTGGTGATCGTTTACTTTCTAAATACATGTTTCAGAACGTGTTTTATTTCCAATGAGGGTGCTGAGAAATGACTTGATTCAGTGAGTGATTCTGTTATGTAGTGGGAGGAGGAGCTTTGGAGTTAGAATCAGGGGATGTTGGTGCAGGTCCCAGCTCGCTAGCCTTGTGACCCCAGGCACATCACTGCTCTCCTCCGAGCCTCAGTGTCCTCAGCTGTAAAATCCCAGTGTTTCTGCTGGCTTCATAGGGTGGTCGCACGAGAAGCACTTGATCATCACATTGGAGAAATGTTCATTGTATGGGTAGTGTCCCCATTTTACAGATGAAGAAACTCAGAGTTCTGCCAACCTTAAAATGCTACATAAATACTAGCTCTTATTGTTATTAAGTAGAGATAATAGTTCAAAGAATTTCAGAGCTGGAAGGGACCTTTGAGATCTTCTAATGCCTCATTTCACAGATGAGAAAATTGAAACAGAAAGGTGACATAAGTGGGCCAGTTTGACCACTGATGTAATTTTCCATTTTTCACTTGGATGTTTGGTTGTGTGTAGATAGCTTTGAGCACTAGGCTGTTATGCAGAAGGGGCTTGAGGTGCTCATTGGATAAGAGACTTTTCATTATTTGTATGTTCAGATCGAGGAGGCTCTTGTACGAAGAAAGAAGATGGAACTCCTGCAAAAGTATGCCAGTGAAACACTCCTGGCCCAGAGTGAGGAGGCAAAGAGGCTTCTTGGATTTTAGTATCTTGGTGTCGCCTGGACTGGAGTTCCTCAGTGGTTCTACACACACTCACCATCCTCCCAGTTTTGTTCACTAACAGATACAAACTGTCACAAGAGGTTAAAGGTGGTCCTTTTCCAGTAATTTTCCTGTTAGCTTTGGGGATTGCTTAATAGTAATATTTTTCCTTTGGTTCCATCCTGAAGTCATAAAAATCCATTTTTTTTTTAAATCCATAAAATGGTCCAAGTGTTCCTGGTTGGGTTGTTCACGTGCTGAACATTTCAGCAATTTATTTTGTATAAATATTTTATTACTGTATAAATAATATTGCTTTTGAAGTTTGTAATATCTAATCACTGTGAAGATATTTTTATTAAATATTTTTGTAAGAAAGAAAATTTGCCGTGTTTTCATTGGTCTCGTTTTATTGAAGTTCTAGAGCTTGGCATTGGTATCTCTTGATTCACATCCTAGCTGTTTCTTCTTGGTCTCCTCTGCTGGGTCCTTTTTCTTTTCTCTCTCCACTCTCACTTGGTGACCTTCCTCAACTCCATGGGCTCAGTTATCATCTCTGTGTAGTTGACTCTCATATCTGTGCATCCGCTTCCAGACCCCAAGTCCTGTATCACCAGCTGGTTGTCGTGGAGGCATCTCAGACTCAACACTCCCGGTCAGAACTCATTCTCTTTCCCTCCAAACTGACCCCTCCTCTTACTTTCCCCATTACTGTCTAGGATGTCACCGTCCTTCCAGTCATTCAGCTTTGAAACCTCAGGCTTATCCACAGCTCTTCTTTCACTCATCCCACACATCTGGTCAGTCCCCACTCCCATCCATCCTCTGCACAGCTGTCTAAGTGACTTCTTTCCTGAAGTGTAGATCTAACCAGGTCATTTCCTATTCAGTAAACTCCAGTGGTTTCTTATTGCCTCCAGGATAAACTGTTGGCATCTAAGCTCTTCTCATTCCGGCCCGTTTCTACCTTTCCAGTCTTCTTACGCCTGAACATGCCCTCTCTGGGTCCAGTCATCCCAGTTTACCAGCTGTTCTTCATGCGTGACGTTCCATCCCCTTTGCGTCTGCTTCCCCCCATGCCTTCCTCTTCACATCTGCCTCTTAGCATCTCTAGTTTCCTTCAAAATTTTCTTCAGTTGCAACCTTCAACATGAAGCGTTTCCCAATCCTCCCGCCCAGCTGCTAGTGCCCTTCCCCCTAAAGCTACCTTGTATTCATTTCCAATATTGTATATGCTTAACACATCCATTCTCTCTCCCCCATTAGAATGTCAGTACCTTGAGGGGGGGGGGCTGCTTCACTTTTGTCTTCCCAGAGCTTAGCATAGTACATGGCAAGCATTTTATAAATTCTTATTAAAATAAAATAAAAACCAGGAATATTAGCCCTCTCATCAATCTGATTGTAAATACAAATTCTCCAATTTTAAATCTAAATTCTCTTAAGTAGGGAAACATTCTTTAAAGTTTAAACGTAAGGAAACACTTTGATTTGATATAATAGATACTGCCTAACAAAAACCCCCTTATGAAATATATTCCCAGAAAACCAATAGCTTGCTTATTTTTGATATATTTAAATGTTAACATATTTAAATATTAAATATTTCCCAATTACATGTAATATAATTTTAACAATCATTTTTTAAAAGTTTTTGAGTTCCAAATTCTCTTCTTCCTTCCAACCCCTCCCCCATCCTTGAGAAGGCAAGCACTTTGATATTGATTATACAATGTGAAGTCATGCAAAACATTTCCAAATTTAGCTTCTTTATTAATAACAGAAAGGTACGATGTGTCCTTCAATTTTGGCAGTATGGTCATCAATTCTTGTGTTTGGCCAGAGTTTCGTTTCCTCCCCGTGTTGAGTTTATTTAAAAGGGGGGCACATTGGTCCTGGAAAAATGAACAAAGGATCTTGTTAGGCTGACCGGTTCCTATATTAACGTGGAACTTTGAGTCAATTTGGGGATTAGATGACAAAATGATGACTATTTGTATTGTTAAGATTGTGTAACCAGCAGTCAGAGTTGAGAACATGGGGAATTGCATTTGCCTTCTTTTGTGCAGTCACATAAGCAATTTAGCCATTGTAACCACCTCATGAGCCCCCACCCTATCCACGTAAGGCCTCCTGTGATGAGTGGGGTGCTTGCTTCCCAGGAAACCCTGTCTGTCACCAGGTATGTAAGCTTCCTACTGGAGCAGAGTACATTTGACCCTTTGCTAAATTGTTGTCAGTTTTCATAGCTATTCATACTGTAGGTGGTGAGCATGTCCGCAGAGACAGATAACGTTCCCTCCTCACTGGGAACACTACCCTGTAGCCTTGGTTTGGGTGGTTTTCCTCATTGTAGGCACGTGCTCTGACTGTGTGCTCAGGTCTTCCAAACTCCAGGCCTGGCACTTTATCCATTGTACCACCTAGCTGCTCCTATGATCCTATGAGTAAATGAAAATGTATGAAGAATAATAATAGTAAACATCTATGTAGTATCTACTACGTGCCAGGCACTGTGATAAACACTACAATTATTATCTCATTTGATCTACACAACAACCCTGGAAAGTAGCTGCTATTATTATCCCCATTTTAAAGATGAGGAAACCGAGGAAAACAGAGGGGCTAAGTGACTTAGCCTAGCTGCCCCTAAAATCCTATGATTAAATGAGATTGCGTGTAAAACACTTTCAACCTCGAGTGCTGTGTCCGTATCAGCTGTTTTATAAGAGTCTGTTGATCTCTGATGATGATTTTTCTTACTGTCTTCTGAACTTCACTGACTCATTCCAGCTTAGCCAGATGACAGATGACCGAAGGGAATTTTGTGAGTTGGATTTTCCCTCTAAGACTGTGTGTTGCGTCTCACTTAACCGCTGGGGTGAGGGTCACTCTTCCCCAAGGAGAGTACAACACCAGCAGCCTTCCAGCTGGAGGAGGGGTACTCTCACGGGGTGAGGATCATGAAGTTTTCATAAGTTCAAGACCAGACCACATCCTTAAAACTCATTTTGTGACCCAAGGAACAGAGCTGCACAAATAGATTTCCATCTTACTGACTACCAACTAACCCGGGGGATGTTAATGGAACAGGGAGCTGTCCTGACCTCTCCTTCCTCTTCTCTCTTCCCAGAACCTAGAGTGGGTCTGGAGGCTTGCTTTGTTTTTAATAGTTTTGTGTCCCTTTCTGATTCTTTCCCTCATGTTTATTAATGCTGAAACTATATAATCTGAGAAACCTGTTTTTAAACAGATGAAACATAATATTGTGGGCATTCATTTATTGAGAAGGAGGAGGAACTGGTCAGATCACTTTGCTGGATTTTTTAAAGGAAACGTTTGTATTGAGTTTTTGAGATTAAAAGCATATCTGCCCTCAGTACAAAGCCTGATAAACCAGATCAAACTTGTTAATAGTGAAAAAAGAGATGGGCTGGCTTTACCAGCTGGTTTATCAAAGAACGTACTCTTTTGAGAATTGTGAACAGAAGTTATAAAAAAGAAAACTTATAAAATATCCCAACACGTTACAAATGTGATTATTGTATATTTCAAGGTGGGAATGCCATTGTCTCTGATGAATCCAAGTTGAGGGTCACCCGAAGGGCAGCGGGGAAATGCAGAATGGGCATGAGTGGGCTGGACCGCAAAGCCACCTGTTGTGTAAGAGAATTGGGACATCACCCGAAGGACGTCTGACCAGAAATGAAGGTAGGCTGGGCAATGGTAAGGAAAGATCCGTTGGTGGACAGCCCGTGTGCTGTCCACACGGTGTCCAAGGAACAAGAGGCCTGACCCCAGCATGGGCAAATGACCCACTGTGGAGGATTCATAGGAAGACATGGGCAAGAGTTACACAGGAGGAGAGGGCACAGATAGGTGGCTATGTGCATCTTTGAAGGGTATGCTCACATCAGTGGGATTACAGATCCACTGAAGTGTATTTCAAACTCTCATTATATTTCCCCTCAAGCCAGTTGTATCACTACTTCTTACACAAATGCTTTGTCTTCCCAGACTTGCTGAGAGCAGCAACCAAAATGTCTAAGGGATGGTGGTGTTGTTTGGTCTTCCCTCTTGGTGACTCCTTTTGGGGTTTTCTTGGCTGGAGTGGTTTGCCATTTCCTTCTCCAGTTCATTTTACAGATGAGGAAACCGAGGCAAACAGGGTTAAGTGACTTGCCCACGGTCACACAGTTAGCAAATGTCTGAGGCTGGATTTGAACTCAAGAAGATTGAGTTTTCCAGACTCCAGGCCTGGCGCTCTGTGTATTATGGCACCACCTAGCTGTCCTAAAGGACAGTACTTCTTCATAATAATATCTTCATTACTAAATAGCAAGGGCAGTATAGCAGATGGGAGCTGGCTTTGGAATCAGGAAGACCTGGGTTGAAGTCTGACACACGTCTGACATATCTTGGCTTAATTTCTCCGTGCCCAAGACAATTTTCTAGGACGATAAGCTGTAGATCAGGGAGTGCTACTCTGTATTGGTAGAGGGAGTTTCTTTCCCTATACCAAGGAAATACAGATATGTATGATCCAAAAGATCAGTGTGGTTGTTACTGGTTTGTTTTTTTTGATCAATCTTGCACAGGTGGGTTGTACAAGGCCTTGTTTTCTCATAGCCCTCTTTGTACTGATAACTTCTCAACACCATAAAGGCTCCATTGTTGGCTGCTGTCACCCTCTTTGTACTACCAACAGTGCTAACAGCTTCTCAATACCCTAGAACATGGAGGCACCAAAAATCAAGGTGACTTACCTAGGGTCACACAGTTAATAGTCAGAAACAAGACTTGAACCCAGGTTTGCCTGACTCCAAGACCATGCCATCCTGCTTTTCTGACATTTATACAGTATTGTAAAGCTTACACAGTGCCTTTATAAAGTATCTGATTTGACCCTCACAAGTCTGTGAGGAATGTAATACAGATATTATTATCTCTATTTTACAGAGGAGAAAAGTGAGACTGGGAGAGGCTATGATGCACATATGATTATAGAATGTCAAAGGTGGGATTTGAACCCGGGTTTTTGGTAAACATTTTTCAAGCTCCAAAGTGTTTCGTGACCAAATTTGTTTGGGGAAATCTGGTCTAGGATCATGCCGACCCCATGTTGGGATTTAGAGGTTTTCTAGAAATATGAATGTGGTCACAAGATCCACCTCACCCCAGCTGCAAAAACTGACGTGCTAAGATTGGTTTACAGAAAAATGGCCCTATCAAATTACTTTATAAACCAAACTACAATTTAGTTTCTTGAACAAAACTACATTCTTTTTATAGAGCACACTACATCTCACCCGGATGAAGGCTGAGTAATCATTCCTTAGTCAGGTTAATGTCTCAATTAAAAAAAAAAAAAAAGCACAGTTTGAGGTTTGGATTATAAACCTAACCCATCACCAAGCTGTCAACCTTATTTAAAAAGAAATCCCTATTGGACATTCCAATACCAGCGGCAGTTTCTAGAGATCCAGTTCATAAAATGGAATTCTAACCACGTGTGTGCCGTGAGAGGTAGTGACCTTGTCACCTCTTGATCTAGGAACTCATAGAGTTGATGAGTGAAGCCAGGAGCAGCAATTGTCAGACGCCTTCTAGGAGCCAGAATGTGTGGGGCTACTCAGAGGCAGCAGGGTGGGTGGCAAGATGACTGAGGTCAGAGGGCTTGATGGGATGTAAAGCACGATCGGAGAATGTCTGGATATAATGGGTTAGGTGAGTTTGCACTCATCTTAGACCACTTAGCCCTAGGGCAGGCATTTTAAAGTGTCTGTTCGTCTACCCCAACCCTGCAAGAGAGAGATAGCATGGCATAGCAGATAAGAGGGTTGGTCAGAAGAACATTGGTTTAAATCCTGATTGGTTGGTGTTGATTAGTTAAATTGATAGTGAGACATTAATATCAATGATTGTAGAAATATTAATGGGCACTGGAAATTTATATTGGGGGAAACACCAGAATAGGGACTTGAGCCAATAGAAGAAATTCAAGCCCCTGTGACCCTCAGGGGAAGATGTAACTACCCTTCGGGGACCCAACTTGCCAGCTTGTGTGAGTTAAAATAAAGACCACACTTGGTTCTAATTCTTCCTTACGACATCACTAATGTGAAAATATGTTTAATAGGAATGTATATGTATAGCTTATATCAGATTGTGTGCCATCTTGGTGAGGGAGACAGGGAAGGAGGGGGAGAAAAATTTAAAACTCAAAAGCTTATGAGGGGCAGCTAGGTGGTGCAGTGGATAGAGCGCCAGCCCTGAAGTCAGGAGAACCTGAGTTCAAATCTGGCCACAGACCAAACACTTGACACTTACTTGCTGTGTGACCCTGGGCAAGTCACTTAACCCCAATTGCCTAAAAAAAAAAGTTTATGGAAGTGAGTGTTGATAAATCAAAATAAATTAATGAAAAAATTAAAAAAAAAACAAAAAATAAAGACCACACTTCCCATGCCTCAGTCTATATTTCTTTAATAGGTAAAGAATATTGTAAACCTTAAAAGGCTCTATAAATGTAAGCTATTATTCATTTCTGAAAGACTCTTCAAATCAGTGTCATTTTTCACGCCAGACCTCTGATCTCAGCAGTATAAGGAAGTCCCAATGTGGAAACTCTTCCTCTGTAATTTACAATCTGAAGGAGCTACCTTGATCATTGAGACGTCAAATTACTTGTCTAGGGTCCAACAGCCAGCATAGGACGAGGAGAGGTCTTTTCAGGTCTTTCTGACTCTGAGGCTTAAACACACCATGAGATTCTCTTGTGTGTTTGTTATAGTAGAAGTTTATTTTGGAGAAAAAGAACCAGCTCCTTTCAACCCTTAGGCCTTGCTTTTGCCACAATTTGAGAAGCAGTCCTATACGTGGCCTTCGTTTGTCAATATTTGCAACATTCCAAATGAAAGAAGCCTAGTCACCTGGTGGTGGCAAGGTGCACAGTGTGTCCACTGAGCCTGGAGTCAGGGAGACGAGTTCAAATCTGGCCTCAGACACTTACTAGCCATAGGACCCTGGGCCAATAATTTAATCTTCTTGTGCCTCAATTTCATCATCTGTAAAATGGGAATAAGAATAGCACTTACCCCATAGGATCAAATGAGCTAACAAGTGTAAAGCACTTTGCAAACCTTAGAGCGCTATGTAAAAGATTATTATTTTTGTTGTTGTTGCTGTTGTTATTATGATAGCTAGGTGGCTCAGTGAATAGAGTGCCTGGATTCAGAAAGAACTGAGTTCAAATTTAATCTCAGATACTTACTAGCTGTGTGACCCTGGGCAAGTAATTTCCCCTGCCTAGACCTCAGTTTCCTTTCTCTGTTAAATGAGGTAATTAGGTTAGATCTCTAAGGTTTTCTAGATCCAATACGAATAAGGGCTGATATTTTAAAGTTCCTTACACGAGTTCTCACAACAACCCTATGAGGTAAACGCTGTAAATATGATCCCTATTTTACAGAGAAGGAATCTGAAATTCAGAAATGTTAAGTGACTTTCCTATGGGCACACAGCTAACAAGCAATTGGAGCCATTGTAGGAAGGGAGAAAGCCGACACTGACTCTGGATTCGGAAGTCTTGGGCTCCTGCCTCTGACCCCCCACTTCAGTTGTAGAGGCAAATATAGGCAAATGGCATGATGTATGTAGGTGGTTAGTATCTGGACGGGTCTCTTAATGTCCAGAGACTGATTTCTATCATCAATAAAGTGAGGGGGCTGGACTAGTGGGGTTCTGAGACCCCCCCCCCAGCAGCTCTAGACCTATGGTCTTATTGAACTTCAAAGTTTCTATGCAGTTCTGGTCTTTTCTGGTCCTCGTACCTTGCCGTCCAGTATCATCCACTTTGTTGGGATCAGCAAGCAGTGCAGTCTTGGAACATGAAGCCTTGTACAGGGCTTGATTTTTCTCCTGTGCATCTAAAAATGCATGGATGAAGCCAGAGACCTGTAAAGCCACTCTTCATCTATGTTAAGACTAGGTACCACTGACCAATGTATGGACATTCCCACTACACTACAGAAGAAAAAAGAAATCTTTGGAAGTGTAAATAGAAAAGTATCTTGTATCATACATGGAAGGATCCCAATTTTAAGAAATGGCGTGTGGCTCGAGAGAGGGCAGTGTGTCTAAGCAAGCATGTTTTTACTGCAAAGATTTCTGAAAGACGTACAAACTGTCAAATCTAGCTAGCCATGTGGATTCTCTCTCAGTGATATGTGGCTAAAACCAAAGCTATTTCTCTTTTCCCAAGGTTATTCCACTTAGACAGTTTTAATGATTCACAGCAACAAACACAAAAAGGGTAGGTAGACCTCGAGGTGTGCTTGGATGTGTTTCCTCTCCTCCAGTCTATGCCATGGGACTCCATGCTCTGTTCTGCCCTGCCCAGATGAACCTTGGTTACTAGTAATGGGCTCTGTAAATTTCAGTTACCATTTTTAAGAGGAAGGCAATGGAATCACCAACATTAGCTCTCATACCACTAGGGGGCATCTAAGGAAAGATAGAGCCAATAATGGAAAGGGAAAAAAAAAAATTAAGCATTTTTTTTAGATGCACAGGAGATTGTAAAAGGGGACACAAACAACTAGAGACATTTTGTGACTATATTGTAAAGTGTGATATATACTTAAAAAACCATACCACATATAGAAATTCATCATTTCTTATTTAATCTTTCTTTTTCTTTGTATATTGAAATGTTAAATTTACAATAAAAAGGAAGAGCCAATGTGTTACTTACTCCAAAAAAAAAAGTCAGAGTTGGAAAGAATATTAGAAATTATCTAGTATAATCATCTTATTTTACAAAGGAGGAAACTGAGGCCCCAAGAAGTTAAGTCACTTGCTCAAGGTCATAGAAGTCAGAGGCAGGATTTGAACCCAGAGTCAATGCTCTTTGTCATAGGATATGTAACATATTAAATTTTTTTTTTGGTCTGGTTGTTTGTTGCAGTCCACATTTTATAGTCTAACAATAATAAATGATACTGGGCCTAGGAGGGCTGAAGTGTTACACTCTCTTCCCTCTGTTGTACTCTGAACCCAGGTCCTAAGGGATTCTGGCCTCTAATGAGAGGAATTATATACCCCTACCCTGGTCCCTGGTGCCTGGGTGGGAAAATTAAAGTTTAGGTTTGGTTCATATGTAGGGTCTCCCTAAAGTGGGGAAGAGAAGGATTCTCAATGTATAATATAAATCAGGTATGGGTCAGGTATTTATTTACTACACACACAAGAAATCTTAACACACAAAAAAAGGCTTTCACAAGTGCATATAACAAGCATAATTTAATAATATAGGGGCTTACTACCTATCAATTGAGAAATGGCAGAACAAGGTATGGTATATGAATGTGATGGAATACTAAGAAATGATGAAGAGAATGGTTTCAGAGAAACCTGGGAAGACTTGTATGAAGCGATGCAGATTGAAGTGAACAGAATCAGGAGGATGAGATCAATTTATACACAGTTCCACTAAGTTTTCAGTATAAGCATTTCCACCTCCAATAAAGGCAGATGCTAGAGATCCAGGTTTGTCTTAGTGTTTTGTTGATTGTATAGACTCAAGAAAGTCATGGCTAAAATATTAATAATGCAGATTAAACTTAAAAGTGTCCAGAATTTAAAAAAAATAATTTTTTTTTGTAAAGCTAGTCCTTAAATATTTATCAATACACCTATGCCCAAATGTCCCATTTTACAGATGAGAAAACTGACATCCTTAAACTTGCCCAAGGTCACACAGTTGATGTCAAATCTGGGACTTTGGCCCTGGTCCTTATAGATTTCAAACCTGGGAGGGGACCACAGAGGTCATCAAGTCCAGTCTCCCTTTTTTTAGGGAGAAAACTTAAAACTGGGAAAGGTTAGGTAATGTGTCCAAGGTCATACCCAAGTGGCCAGTCACATCTATCCTGACATCAAATCCAGTGTTCTTCTTACTAAACTACCCTACCTCACAGGCACTCTCAGCACTTAGCACAGTGCCTGGCATATAGTAGGGGCGATTAATCCATGTTGATTGAGTGATTGATTGATGTATGCCTGATATAGGACAAGAGGATAGTCATTTATCTAACAAAATATGGGACGGCTATTTACAAATTGCCCAGCTGTGCCAAAGAGAACATCGACCAGGAGTCAGGAGACCCAGGTTTGAGCCCCCATTCTTTTCCTGGCTTGCTTCATGTCTTTAGCCTCATCTATAAAATGCAGATGTGGGATGAAGAGATGGCTCAGAACCTTCTGTACTCTGTACTGAGAGGGAAGGCAGAGATGGAGAAGATAAATCCCTGTCTTCAGGGAGCTTACGATCCAGGTGACAGTTAAGTCCTGACTCAAATTGAGGTTTGGTTCTGAGTAGGGAGTGGTTGTAAAAAACCAGCTAAACCCCAGTGGAGGCGGAGGGTAATGGAGACGAGGCAGGGACTGGAGTCTTTAGGAAGGATGCACTGGAATCTTTAGTATCTCCTATTTCAGTCTGGTTTAAGAAGAGCTCAGCTTTCAGTTTCTGGGATTTCTAAGTCATCTGCAAGGAGACTTTGGGGGAATTACCCCATTTCAGGATTGAGTCACTGCAGAAGACTGCAGACTAAGACCACAGGTCTTTATAAAGATTTGTTTTCAAGATTTGTTTTCCTCTGGGGAATAGGGGGTGGGGAGTAGGGGGGTGGAGCATCTCCAAGAGACAGGCTCATTTTTAACATACTCACAGAAGAGCTAACCTTCTACAGGAGAAAACAAAAGTTCAGCAGAATGGAAAACCCAATGCATCAGGAAGATGGGGCAAAGACCCTGGACAAACTCTCTTGGCCTCCTTTTGGTTTCATCATCTATAAAATGGGTCTGTAAAGCTGGACCGACTCCAAGGTTCCTTCCCACTTTAGATCAGTGAATCTATGCACAAGCAGTTCAATCGTGTTGCTACTTTACAAAATTTGTCACTACTTTGTTAAATATAATATATGTTAAAAAAATCCAAATTATACATAACTAAAGTTCAGACTTATATGCCATGCTCTTCTTTTTTCTTCTTTGTATCTTGGACTATTTGTGTTTGTTAGTGATCATTACATTCATTAAAAAAAAATTTTTTTTTTGAAAGAGCTAAACTTTTAGGAGTTTTGAAGTATTTTTTGGTTTAAGTAGCACAGAGTTCTGTTCCTTTAGTGGTGAAAGACTTTGACATTTTATGTTAAACACTCTTAATCTCCACTAGAATGCTGTTTACTAGGTTATGCTGGAGAGTGGAGAGTCATCCAAAGTAAAGTAATCTGGATTTGGAGTCAAGGACCTGGATTCAAATAACAATTACTAGCATCATATTCCACTTGAAGATTTCCAAAGAAATTTTACATTTTGTTACCTCATTTGAGCCTCCAGGCAACCCTATCAGTTAGGTATTATTATTATCCCCATTTTATAAATAAGGAAACTTGAAGCTGAGCGGCTTAAGGGACTAGTTGAGGATCTTTCAGTATATCAGTATTTAAGGCAGCACTTGAACTCGGGTTTTCCTGATAAGTACTCCATCTTATCTCAGCTTCAGTTTCGTCATTGGAAGGTGACTTTCAGCTCTAAATCAATGGTTTTAAGAATGAGAATAACTGACCTATTCATTCATTCCTTCAATAAACATTTACTGAATATTGGCTTTCTGTAGTTAGGCCCTGACCTAAGCACTCAGGAAGATATTGAATAAGTGTTAAGTATTTATAATATGCAGATTACTGTGCTAACAATATGGATAGAAAAAGAAAAACAAGAATCCTTGTTCTCAAATCACTTACGTTTTGATTATGGAAAACAAAATCTGTAGGAAGTTTCAGCTGCAGAGCAGATGGAAAGGCCCATGGCGAATGTGGTGGTGGACTCATACTGATGGAATCGTAGCCATTTCCAAGGTTGGAATTCTACAACATTTGTTGTTGTTCCTCCAAGTGAGGCAAAGCTGTGTAAAGTTATCAGCTGAGATCTCTGTCCTCCAGAGTCATTGGAGTCCAGTGGAAAGACAAAAGTCAAGATGATCTACAATGAAATGCAGTGAATGACCTTGGTCTTTCTAAGTTAAGGTCTTTTCCAGGTCTCAGTTTGTCTGAGGCAACACCCATTCAAATGACTAAGGCAATGACTAAGCAAGAATTGAGACAAAAGATGACCTAGTTTACCAGCACAAAAGTTTCAATCTCAGAGTTTCTGGCCAGAATAGAAAACAATTGCTATTTATGCTCTATTTTATTTATTTACACTATTTTAAGTCATCAAAATCTAAACAATGAGCAATGGAGGCTTGGGCTGGGGGCTATTATTGGCCATTCAATGAAAGCCAGAGTAATTTGGCTTTAAAGGCATAAAATAGCTCCATTTGGATCATAATAGACTTTTTTAAAGCCTATTTTTTTCCAGAGCTATATTTCAAGAAATCAAATGAAAATTGCTCAGGACAAAAAGTAAATTGAACCAGCTTTTTTAAAACGAATGAATGAATGAAAAATTAAAGCAGAGGCTGCAATAAACAGAGAACTGGGCCTGGAATCAGGAAGACCGGAGTTCAAATGCAGCCTCAGACACTTAATCGGTATGTAAGCCTAGACAGGTCACTTCACCTCCATCTGCCTCAGTTTCTTCATCTGTAAAATGGGAATAATAATAGTACTTACCTCCCAGGGCTGTTATCAGAATCAAATGAGATAATTATTGTAAAGTGCTTATCACAGTGCCTGGCACATAGTAGGCGATTTATAAATGCTTTTTCCTTTGCCTTCTCCCTACTAGATTGTTTCATTCTTTGTATTTGTATCCCTACTGCCTAACACAGCGTCAAGGACTTCAGTGGTGAGAATTTTCTAGAAGCAGTGGCTCCTAAGGAGGAGGGAGTGATCAGGTCCCATCTCCACAAGGCCTGCTTTTCTGAGCTATTTGGGGTGGTGTGCTGAAGTTTGGTGAGGGAGGGATGCTATTCCTTGGGTCTTGGGACCTTCAGTATCAGTTCTTTTGGGGTTGTTGTTAGTGGTGGCAGGGATGGTGGGCCCCTTTTCTACTAGGGTTTCCACTCCCTCGGTGATGGCTACCTGGGGCAGGTATGGTAGGTTGGAATCAAAGCTCATGGTGTGAGAGTGCTGACATTAGCAGAGTTCTTCGGCTTAGGGCCCTGTACCATCTCCATCTCTGAGTGGGCCGGGCACATGCTGCCTCCCCTCTCCCCCTCAGAATTTTATCTTACTACTTCCAGGTGGCAGCTGTAGGTAGTGGTGGTGGTGGTGGTGGTGGTGGTGGTAAGGGTGGTGGTAGGGGGTGGTGGACCTTTGCTCTGTGCTCTCCTGGATGATGGCCCCATTATTGTTGCTGTTTGTCCTTTGTTCTCAAAGAAGATGTGATGTTATGACTAGTGCCTGAATTGGATTTAAGTGAAGCAGAACTGAGAAAAATCAGCAGCCTCAATCTCTCCTCCAGAGTCACGAGTCCAGTGGCAAGACAAAATCAAGATTGTCGATGGCCTGGGAGGCAGTGGGTGACCTTGGCCTTTCTAAAATTAGGGTCTTTCACAGGTCTCAGTTTGTCCGAGGCAACACCCATTCAATGACTAAGGGCTGGGTAAGAATTGTGACCAAAAATGTCCTAGTGTACTATCACAAAAGTTTTAATCTGGGAGGAGAAGGCCCTCAGAGTTTTGGGCCAGAATAGAAGACAGTTGCTATTTACATTCATTTGAAGCCCTGTCAAAACCTAAACAATGAGCAACCCAGGCTTGGACTGGGGGCTATTATTGGCCATTCAAAAAAAGCCAAAGGGATTTGGTTTTGAAGACCAGTCAAGTAGTTTCATTCAAGACTTTTTAAAAGCCTGTTTTTTTCAGAACTACATTTTAAGAAACCTATGGTGGCTGGGTAAAAATGAATAAAATACCATTCCTGCCCTCTGGGGGCTTCTGGTCTAGGAGGCAAGATAAGATGTATACCAATCTTTTTTTTTTTTAAAGTTAGAATTTAGGGGCAGCTAGGTGGTGCAGTGGATACAGTACTGGCCCTGGAGTCAGGAGGACTTGAGTTAAAATCTGATCTCAGATACTTACTAGTTGTGTGACCCTGGGCAAGTCACTTAACCTTTGCCTCACAAAAAAAAAAAAAAAAAGAATGAGGCATGATGATACCAAATAAGTACTATGGGAGATCAGAGGAGGACAGGCTGAAATAAAAGGAAGGAGCTGTGTCCTGAGGGCTTTTTTAGGACCAGTAGAATTTCTACATGTGAAGATAATAATACCTTAAATTTGTGTATTTTTCAAAGTATTTTCTCTTGATGCTAAAATAAAAGGCAGGAATAATTTAGGGGGAGGGAGTGGGGCACATTCAAGACTTCTTGGAACCCTGTAACTTATCCCAAGTTTGTTATTTTTATCCTGTTCTCCTACTGATTCTAACAGTTTTGTTGTTTATTCAAACCTCCAGAGAGCTGTGTCTGCCTTAGGGAAGGAAAGGGAGGGACAAAGCTGGGAAATCTCCTTTAGCTGCTCAGTGGGGCCAGGCAGGAGAGAAAGTTTAGCTGGAAACAGCAGAGAAAGGAGAGCGCCAGGCCAATCCCTGCCCCCCTCTCTTCCCAAGGAATAGAAAGGAGGTGTCTTGGGAGCAGGGTCTGGGACCCTGGAGGCAGGAAGAAGAGGTAGGAAGGAGGCAAGGGGAAGGCCTGGTGTCCTGGTGTGGCATGGGGCTCTCACCACCTCACCGACACCCCCACCCTCCCCAGCCATTAGGGTTGCTCAAATGTCTCTTCCTGGATTGTGTCCAATGGAAAAGGGCTGGAGACATGTTTGTCACGCAGTTGGGAGCACCTAAAGCCTCAGGGAGGAGCAATGTCTTGTTGGAAGCCACGAGGAGTCTGGCTTGCTGTGTGTCACTCCTTTCCTCTGTGAACAGGGCATCGGGGTGTTGGGAAGGGTCCTTTTTGTCAAACTGGAAATTCTCAGGAACTGTGAATCACCTCAAAAACGAAAAGCAAAGCCGCTACCTGCCCCAGCAGAGACTGAGCCCTCTGAGGCAAGTTCTCCTTTTGGGTTTCAGCCTGCCACTTTCAAATATCAAGACCCCTGGCCACATGTCCTCTTCAAGAGAAGTTTCAACTTAGAGCTCTTCCCCTCTCATTAACACAGGACATTTACATTGGTAGGGACCTTGGGGCAGGCTCAAGGGTCCACTCAAACACCACCTCCTACTGGAAGCCTCTCCTGTTGCCTCCCCACCCCTCTGACCTAAGGTTTCCCCCACCCCTCTTAATCCCAGTGCCTATTTATCCTGGATAGAATTCATTTTGTATAGATTTGTTTGCACGTTGTCTTTCCCATTAGATTGTAAGCTCCTTGAAGGTAGGGGCTGTGTTTTGCCTCTTTTTTGATTTTCCCAGTGTTTAGCACAGCGCCTGGCACATAGTACTTAATAGCACTTAATAAATGTTTACTGATCGATTGATTGATATGTATAAATTGTCTTCCCTTATAAGCTCCCTGAAGGCAGAAAATACTGCATTTCTGTTTTGGTATGCCCAGGACCCAACATGGTAACTGTTGGAAGGAAGGAAGTAAAGAAGGATTTGTTAAATGCCTACTATGTGCTAAGTGCTATCTTATTTGATTCTCCCAACATCGCTTTGAGGTAGGTGCTATTATTATCCCCATTTTACAGTTTAAAAAATGGAGGCAGACATAAATTAAGTGACTTGCCCAGGATCACATAGCTAGTAAGTGTCTGAGGCTGGATTTGTGACTTCAGAGCCTGTGCTGTATCTGCTGCACTACTTAGCTGCCTCAAAATATAATGTACAATATAAAATGAAATAAATGCGTGTTGGTTGATTGACTCTAAGAAGGAAAGATTCTGGCTAATGTCGCACAACTTGTTAGTGACAGAAGCAGAATTGAACTCAGGGATCTGTCTGGACTCCCAAGTTAACAGTTCACTTCCACTTTACACATATCGATTTTCTTTTGTTTTTGTTTTCCCCATATAGGCGGTATATAATATTTTCTTTTTTAATCTGGTGCGCTTCAATTGATTAGAAAAGTGCCACCTCTGTTAAACGACAACAATAATAAAAGCATTTATATAGTGCTTTGATCCTAAAAACAATCAGTGCTACATTTTACAGATGAGGAAACTGAGGCACAGAGAGGTTGTGACTCACCCTGGGTTACAGGTTTTCCTGACTCCAAGGCTTTTACTCTATCCACTGCACCATCTAACTGCCCCGAAAATCGAAAACCAAAAATCTACTGCCTCCCACAGCCCTTCCAGATTCATTCCTTTGGATTAAACATTGATCTGTGAAATCCTCTGTTCTGCTTTTTAAAAATACAAATACTTCTGAGAAGGGGAACATTGACGTATAATATCTTAACATGAGTGACTTTCTTGGAGACCTGGACCCCAAGACAGCTTCAGGTGACTGGAGAGAGGGGGAGGGCTCCCATTTCTAGAACTTTTTTTTTAACATTTACAATTCACATTTTCCATACAGCTCTAGTGCAGGTTTAAATCATCTCCATTTACAGGTCAGGACCCTACGGTTCAGAGGGGTGAAGGGATTTGCTTGGGGCCACACAGCTATTTTCCCACTCTTCTGAGTTGATGGAGAGAAGGGGAAAGGAGCAGAGGTGAGGTCCATGCCCCTGATAAACTTCACAGTTTTCTCTCTAGCTGGGCCCCAGATCCAGACCTTGGACTGTGATCCTGAGGAACAGGGTAGTTCCCCTTCCTCAAAAACCCTGGAAAAAAAGAGGTCCTGAAGACTAAGCTAGGACATCCCCGGGGACTTTCCCCAGCTTGGGTTGGGTTTTTTTAATTTTTATAGTTTGTTCTTCTTTCTCTATCACAGGGCCTAGGCATGAACAAACCAAGGGACTCTTTGTAACCCCATTTGAGGTTTTCTTAGCAAAGAAGTGGTTTGGTTTGCTATTTCCTTCTCCAGCTCATTTTACAGATAAGAAAACTGAGGCAAACAGGGCTAAGTGATTTGGCCAGTATGACCCACCTAGTAAGTGTCTGAGGCCAGATTTTTTTTTTGCTTTTTGGTGAAGCAATCGGGGTTAAGTGACTTGCCCAGGGTCACACAGCTAGTAAGTGTCATGTGTCTGAGACCGGATTTGAACTCACATCCTCCCGACTCCAAGGCCAGAGCTCTATCCACTTTGCCACCTACAAGGCCAGATTTGAACTCAGGAAGACTCCCAGCACTCTGTCCATTTCTACACCTAGCTGCAACTCAACGAGGTTCAGCCAAACTGAGCTGGTTTAGAGTTCGGTTTCTTTCTAGTTGACTTTAGCTAAGTGAGCTGTGGGGTCCCAGACAGCCCTAGGGTCCGTGGGATGCTCGCAGATGGGCAGAGGAACCATCTAAAACAGGAACAAGTCCCGAACTAGTGTCCAGAGGTATTAATCCTGGAAGCCTAGAGGAACCAAGAGCCCCGGGGGGCACTGGGTCAGAGAGGGGCTGTAGAGACCCTGAACGATGGTCCCTTGGCCCCATTTCCTTCCCTTTAGTCCCTGCGGTGTAGGAGGAGGGTGATGGCCTGGGGAGATCAGGGGAGGGGAGAACAAGATGAAAGGAAGACACGCTGCCCATCCCGAGCTGGAAACCAGTGTTCTGACTAAGGTTTTAACTCCTAGGGCTGGCTGCCCCCAGGCAAGTGACTTACATTGTCTAGGTCCCATTCTTCATTTCATGGTGCAGTGGACTGAAAGCTGAATTCAGAGAACTGAACTTGGAAGCCAGCACAGGCATTTGAAGTTTGAATTCTGGCTTTCTCACTCGCTACTAATGTACTCCCACTAGGCAACAGCCACGGTCTCCACTGCCCAGCAGTCTGAGGAATACACCATGCCCCTGAGGTTTTAACTCTTTCCTCCCTGTAAGACCTTCTACCCAATCCTTGGGCAGCTGGTGACACAGTGGCTAGAGCACTGTGGGTAGAGTCAGGAAGGCTCATCTTCCCGAGTTCAAATTAAGCCTCAGACACTGACTAGCTGTGTGTCTTAAGGCTGGATTTGAATTCAGGTCTTCCTGACTCTAAGCCCAGCAACCTCCCCCCCCCCCCCCCCCCCCAGCAATCCACTGACCACTACTCTTATTGGGTGTTGTTTCTCCCTATTACAATATCAACAACTCAAGGCAGGAACTGTCTTTGCTTTTTGTATTTTAGTATAGTGTTTGACCCACAGGGCTTAATAAATGCTTTTTCTTTCATTGTATTGACCACACCTGTAGGGCTGTTTCCTCACTTGTAAAATGAGAGGGTTGGACTCAATGACCTGTAAAGTTTCTTCCAGATTTAGAGCCCTCACTGGGTTGTAGGAGATCCATCACTTAATCAACAAGCGTGGGTGACGTTCTACCCACCATATACCATCATCCTGGAGACAGCAGAGGAAGCAGGACTCTCAGAGAAAGAACGTACAGACGGAATGATGGCCTGACCATCCTAGTTGCAGTCTCCTGCCAAGTGCTCAACAAATCCAAAAGACTAACTACTATTACTACTAATCATGGCGCTGGGCATCCTCTGAAGCTTGAGGCCAATGCTCCTGAGTGCCATGGCTGTGTAAGTACAATCATAATCAATCTCTGCGTTTGTAAAGCATCCTAGTCTGCTCACATCCATTTTCTCCTCTGATCCTTACCCTGTCCTAAGGCAGCGATTCTTATTCTCACTTTACAGATGAGGAAACTGAGGCTTCAGTGAGGGTGTGATTCACTCCAGGTTACATCTAAGACTAGAAAATGTCAAATCCTTTATCTTTTTTGGTACGAGTACAGAACTTGGGGTTCCCAATCCTTCAAACCATTAAATATTTAAGCCAGAAAGGTCTATGGCTCCAACCTCTGTTTTAAACATAGAAAAACTGAAACCAGGGTAAGTGAAGTATTAGGGAGTCGTTAGCAGAGCTAGGATGAGAAACCAGTATGACGCATTTAGGGGAAGGTCCACCAGCCCACAGAGCAGGAAGGTTGGGTTCTGGTCTCATTTCTGTCCTCTAAAGTTTGCGTAACTGAGCAAACCAACTTTACTGGGCTTTGGGTCCCTTTTCTTTAAAATGGAGGCATTCTATCTCCCAAGTATTTTTCTATCTTGAAAATTCTGACTCCAAAACCCAGGATCCATGCCCTCCACCCCAATTTATGTGCTCCTTGTTGGTTCTCTGGTCTATAGTTTTTTCCTGTCTCTTGCCTGAAGGTCGAGCCATAATGCTACCTTCCCCTGCCCATAAAACAGACACATAGACACAGACACAGTCACATACACCCTCTGTCAGCCAAGAAATGAAGATCTGGCCGGGGATGTGGTTACTTTAGCTTGAACCTAATGCAAGTGGGGAAGGCTGATGGAGAAACAACAAAGCTCTCTTTGCATGTCCATTTTCTTTTTTAATGAAATCTGTTTAATGGTGTACAGGGGTGTATAGCAACTCTAATTCTGCTAAAATTTTCCAAAAGGCAAGTTTCATATTTTTAAAAATAAACATTTTTATTAATAAAGTTTATAAATCCATAAATAGATGAAAGGTAAAATATCAAAACATGACTAAAGTATACAAAGTTCACTCTCAAGGCCTCACATTCCAAACTGCCTTGGCCTTATCTGGGTAGGTCGAGTCAAAAAAAGAGAATGGTTCCCTGTGTTCTCCTGAGGAGAAAAGTGACTGAGGAGCTACAGGAAACAGAAAGTGACAGAAGAGAGAAAAAAGGGGACCCCAAAGGCGGCCACCCAACACTGTCATCTCTGAAGTAATTTTGGAAATGAAATAATTGAATTCAATATGAATTAAGAGCTTCGTCCCTCCTACGTGTATTGGCAATCCAGAATCCATGCTGGATCTCAACTTTCTGCCCTCGAGGGACCAACAGACAGACTGCTATGGGCCTGGGGGCTTCTACGCTGTCCCCCAGATTCAGGGCAGAGCTATTTGGGGGATGGCAGTTTCACAAAAAAACAACAAAACAAAAAAAACAAAAAACCCTACACAGTCTTGGAATGATTCCCCATCTCTACCTCTTCAGGGTAGAGAATGCCCAAATCTGTTTCCAGTTTCTATTTTAAACACATTACATCATGTAAACCCTGGTCATTCAACAAGCCTTCTCAGCAGATGGCCACGATAAGACAATTCAGACACCTGGGAGATAGTGAGGCAAACCCACCGGAACCTTAACCATGTTTCTCAGGCCTCCATATGATGCTAAGGACAAGGCTATGGCCATCCCAGGCTTCCCTGGGTCATGTTAACTACAACTGAAACCCAAACTGGCCTGGCCTGTTGGAGCTGGTTAGAGATGAAATTCCGTCAGAAGCCAGTGTCCATTTCGGGCCTGTTTGCTTCCAGGACAGCAAACCTCCCCCGCTGGCCTGGCTGGCTGCACTAGGCCCTAGCAGTCCCTCCCCCTGCTCTTTGGTAATTTATAAACAAGGAAGGGATTAGAACAGGTTCTCCTCACTCTAGGGGGTGGGGGAGGTGCCACAGGGAAGGACATTTAAGAAGGTTGGGGTTCACCTAAGCCAAATTAAGCAGTTATCCAATAGTCTCTAATAGGTAAACACCAGGCTGAGGGGAGGAAAAAAAGTCTCCCTCTTCTTACATGCTCTTCTCAAGGCCCAAGTGGAATGAAAATGATTTTCCCAATTCCTTTTAGATCTATATGATGCATTCATTTAATACACACTTAGAACCTACCAATGTGTGGCACTGTGGTAGGCCCTAGGGCAAAGCTAAATAAGATGGAATCCTTGCACTCTGGGAGCTGGCAGAAGGAATAGCTATCCATGCAAGACCACCACCACCTGATAAGTGGCAATGCCACTTAGTAAAGGGAGGGTGGGGAGGGTTTGTTATCTGGGGAAAGAGGTAGCCTTTAATCAGGACCTTCTAGTATGGTGAAGATTTTGATGGAGATAGTGGGTGAAACGGGTCAGGGGAAGTCAGGGGACTTGGGGACTTCCAGGCAGGGTTGAATAATAAGGAACAGTTCTGGGAAAGGATCACATCTAATAGGAAAAGACGAGAAAAGGAATGGAAGGTCTTGAATGGTAGGCTGAATTTGGGATTTATTCAGCAGGCAAAGGTAAGTGTATGGGTGGTATCGAGGGGAATGATATCAGAGATGGACTTGAGGTAAGATAAGTCTGGTGACATGGAGGATGAGTCCCCATGGGAAGAGAAGGGAGCAGAGGCCTAGTTAAGAGGTTATTACTGTAATCTAAGCTTGAGGTGATCAGAAGCTGTGGTAGGGCAGGGGTGCCAGGATTCAGAAGAAATGGAGAAGTGGAAGGATTAGCATTTGACTGGATTTGGGAAGCAAGAAAGTGGTCAGAGACAAGGGTTACCTCAGTTTCTAAACCTGAGGTGCCATTGAAATAGGAGAAACTGGGTTTTCTGGGGGCGAGGGAGAGTTAAAAACTGGCCTTAACTTCTACTCGACATGGGAAATTCAAGACATGATGTCAAAGGAAATAGAGGAAGGAACCTTGCTAAAACTAAGGGAACAGCAGCAAAAAGTTGAAATTATCCTCCACAAAAGCCACGACAGATACTAGGAGTTCCCTTTCTTTTCCAGTTCCCTTTCTCCACTGTCTTAGATGACCAGGAACGTCCCTACCCCCAAGTCGGGTAGCCAAGACATATCTTTTTAACCAAAGTCCTTTTTTCAGCCCAAATGCAACTAACACACAGTAAACTCTAACTTGGCAGCAGTATAGGGGTTGAAAAGGAAAAGCTGGGGGGCTGACAAAAATTCAATGTGTGCCCTCAGGATGATGTTCTGAATAACAGTGCTATCTCCACCTCAGGGAAATAGCAATCTGTATGTGCTAAGGTGGGTAGGAGAAACCATTGGTCCCATTTTAGTCCTAGGAAATGATTAAGTTCACCTTCTTCAGTGTCTTATGTATGCAAAGCCCTTTCCTCACAATAACCCTGGGAGGTGAGAGAGATCTGAATTCCAGATTCTGGGGGGGTTTCCTTTCCCAACGCCCAGGCAGTTTTACATCTGCAAATGGGTGGTAGCAATAGCCAGGGATATGGGGTATCACAGGGCCCTTTTCAGAAAGAAGCTCCTTCTTCCCCCCTGTACACTATTAAAAGAGATCTGGGAATAGAGTATCTTTCTTCTAAACACATATTTCAGATGCTACTTGAAGGGCTAGGCTCTCTCAAGGGGTCTAGCTACTTGATTCTGTACTGGGGACAAGACAGAGGGTCTTCTGTGCAATGGAGAGCAGGTACTTTTTGTTGAGTGCATGAAGTCTTCCTGATCCAGACCCAGAAAGAAAAAAGGTTTCCAGGTATTATGTCCTAGTCCCCTCACCCCACATCATGAAGAGGCAAACAACCTAGTTAAACCACAACATCCTCTGAAATCACTAAGATTTGATGATTTAGCAGAATCCAAGATTTTGTCGACATAGATTCTGGGAAAGTTGAGATATCAGCTTTGTGAGAGAGAAGGCCTGGGAGAGGAGTCTGGAGTTTGGGAGAGAGAGAGAGAGGGGAAAGTTTGGGAGGAGAGAAGCCTCCTTTCCTGGACAAGTTCAGCCAACTACCAGGACTCCATCATCATTACCTTTTTCTGTGTGTAGTTCCCTTCCATGAGGCCAGAAAGGGGACAGACATCAGCACAGAAGAGTTCCCTTTCTGAAGGCTAGCAGTGGCTCACTCTTCCAACCTGCTATCACTGCTCAGCAATGCCTGAAGTCGGCCTGGCTTGGTTCCACCCATCCCCAGGGTCTAGCCTGGAAGGGAGGGTGGGAGCATGTCACAGAGCCTACCTCCTTCAGGGATGAATGGATGGGGAGAATTCTAATCCTGAAATCCAAAGAAAGGCTCTGAGGACACCAAGCAGTCTCTATTATTAGAGTGGGAAGACAGAATTACACAGTGGTAAGTTGAGGATGGGTTATTATTTTGCCCTTCAAAATTCTACACAGAGGTAACAAAAATAGGGCACTTTGACTTTAGAAGGCCCCTAAGAATGTGCCCAGATTCACTAGGTACCCAAGAGATAAGTCCTGGAGATACAGCAGATAAAGCTTTCTCTTGTTTTCCATTAACCTCACAGATTAAAAGTCAAAAACTGTCCCTTAAGTAGGGTCCTGAAGGAATTAAGAGGCAAAGAAGCTAAATTTCAGTCACAGAAGGCTCAGTACCTAGGAGCAATGAGGGCAACACCAGACACCTGGGAAGAAGAGGGAGGCAGTGACAAGCAGGCCAAGATTGGCATCCCAGAGAGGGACAAAGATGAGGGTAGAGCACCAGGGGTACAGAACCTGGCTGATAAAAAGGCCAGGCAGAAAACTCTGTGTATATGAAAACTCCTGATGGCCAGCCACTTTTGTGCAAGCTTCTAGTGACACCAGTAGGCTTATGAGGAGGCCCAATGCTGAACCTCAGGGGTTCACTAATCTATTTCTAAGAGACCTACTGTGCCCAGAAGACTGGGGCTAAATTTTGCAAGGAGGGTGATTTTTTTTTTTTAATAATTTTTCACTTGGATATAGGATGAACTTACTTTTCATTATTTTAGTAGATTTGAGTCTGGAGGGAAAAGCTAACCTTTCAGTAGGGCCTCCCATTTCCTGAAGAGTGGCAGAAAAGGAGCAGAGGGGAATTTCTGGCCCTACCTTGTTAGAAGCCAGAGAGGCCCAAGGCCCACTGTTCTGCTAACAGGGAGCTGATACGAGTTGGTGCCAACATTGCCCCTATCTCTTTCCTCCAACTCAGTGATGAGCTGTAGGGCACTGCTCTGGAGAGAAATCTCCAAGGGTTCTCAAGTCTGAATCTCTGGGCCTCAAGATAATGATGAGTCTTTCCTTCCCCTAACCATGAGTGAAAAGCAGATTGGAAGGGCCTTACACCTCCCTGTGCTTCTGGGGTAGTTTCACTTTCTGTTTAATTAACAGGTTTACATTTCTTCTAAAAATATAAAACTTCTCAGGAACTAGTTTCCACTGAGAAAGAGAATACATGATCATAGCTGGTCTGGGGGAATTGCAGCTGAACTCCTCCCTCCTTCTCCTTGTCTGAGCCTTGCCTCCCCATCCTCCATACCTGCTCCTCAGAACATTTTAGCTGCTGAATCACCCTTAAAGGAAAGCCACCACTCCTGCTTGGAGCTGGTAGGAATGAAAAACTCCAGGTAGGTGGGAAAGGGATTTTTGAACTAGGAAAAATAGCAAAACTTTTTAAGATAGAACAAGTCTGAGTCTGGCCTCTTCCCACCCTCTCACTTTGGGTCCTCAGGGGAGAGGGGAGGCTGAGCTGAGCTGATGGGTGCCGAGATAGCACTCACCACACCCTGCTCATCCAATTCAGTTTATAGAAGGGGTGGCCCTGGAAAGGGCAGACTGCACCTTGGGCCAAGAAAAGAAACCTGAAGTGACCAGAGTCACTTGGAAACAACCAAGCAATCAAAACAGTGTGAAAACCAAACAGGAAAAAAAAAAGGACCTAAACCCTATTGAAACTCCACTTCACCCAGGTGGGCCACTGGTAGCTGACCTAAAGAAAAAAAGAAAAAGAAAAAAAGTTCTTGGCCTCATTATAGTCTGAATGATCAGAATAACCATGATAGAAACCAGGATTGGCAGGGGATAGTGGGTGGAGATAGAGGAAGATGGGAGTGGTACCTCAGAGATCTCAAAGGGTATCATCTCCCTTAGAGATGAGGACAATTTTCTCCACTTGCCTCACCAAGTAACTTTGGGAGTGTGGATGGCTCCTGAAATGTGAAGGCTTTAAAGGGACACAGGCAAAAGATGCTGGGTAGAAACTACTTTTACCTCAAATAAGTTTTCAGGAGAATGCTGTGGCCTCTCTTCTTCCTTTTTGCACCCAGACCAAAGTCAACTAATCAGTAAGCCTACAGGTTATCCTTATAGCAAAGGCACCAGAAGAGACCTCAGAGGCTAAGCTAAACTTACCCCCTAATTCTTCCTTCAGGGAAACTTTCCCCTTATGCATTATGGCCATACCAGTAGACCCCACTGCCTTAACTATGTCCCTTTTAAAAAGAAAAAAATCAGCAAAGCACAATCATAACTGCTCTGGCCACTACAGAATCGTTGGTCCCCCATTTTGGGGCAGGAGTTATTGCAGTAACACTACTTAGCATTAGGTCAAAGAAAACTACAGTATTAGCACTGTCTATCATTCCATCCATATTGGCTGCTGCCTCCTGGCCTGCACTCCACCCCAGCCCGCCACCATCAGCACCCGCAGCCCCAGCCTTCCACCACGTCCTTGCTGTCAAGTTTGATGTGGTCTGTGTTCTTCTCGCTGAACACAGGCCCACCATGTCTCATCATGAGCTCGGTGGCCACCTTCACAAAGGCCTCCTCCACGTTGCTGGAATCCTTGGCAGACGTCTCGATGGCACAGAGGATCTCGTAACGCTCGGCCAGGAGCTGGGCTTCCGTCAGCTGAACCTCTCGAAGGTCACTCAGGTCTGACTTGTTTCCTGGAGGCAGAAGCCAGGTTGGGTCAGACAGATGGAATCTTCTCTGTACTTTCCCCCCAGGGCTGGGGTTTGAGGAGGGTTGGGTCAGGGAAGAGGTGGATGGAGTGGGAAGGAGGCAGACAGGAAGATTTAAAAAAAAACAAAAAACACCTCCCCAGGGGACAAGAGTTCAATAAGCACTGATTAAGGACCCGGAGGTGCTCATCATCTTTCCCTAACCCCACAATTAAACCTGGTGCCCCCTAAAACATCCCTCTTCCCTAAGTCTCTCAATGACACTGTTATCCTCTAGCTGTCTAGACTCCTCAAAGCTACCCTTGACTCCTTCCTCTCTCTGTATCTCCCAAGCCCAATTAATTACCGAGCAAAGGGCCAGGCTTAATAAAGACTTATTTGCTCATTTATTCATTCATTCTATAGCCTATCTCCACAATAATGTACACATCCATCCCTTTCATTCTATTTTCACTGCCCCCTTAATCTGATTATAATTCTTGGCTCCTGATTAAGCCCTTCGCTAGGTGCTGGGGATACCACAAAGATGTGGTCCCTGAGGTCTCGGAGCTTATTTACAATTAGCAGGGGGAGATGCAAAATATACAAGAAATGGAAAAACTATAATGCAGAAGAGACAATGTGTGGGAGACAAGATACAAAATGCCATAAGTCAGGAGAGAGAAGAGCTTGAAACTGGGGGGCGGGGGAAGGTGTGTGCACAGAAGGTTTCAAGAGGTAGAAGGCATTTGAGATGAGTCTGGAAGAATACAGATTTCAGGTTAACATAAGGAAAAACTAACTACCTACCAATTCCACCTGTTCCAAAATGGCTCTAGAATGCAATGTGGGGATTGGTTTTCCTTGACTATGCCTTACTGGCTAAAGGGTTTTTATTTTTTTTAATTGGGGAGGGGGGAAGGTGAGAGGAAGCAAGGGGTAGTGATCAAGAAAGGACATTGAAAAATAACATAGAGAAGAGAAGAGAAAGAAGGCCAGAAGAAAACAGACAAGTAGGAAGCTTTGAAAAGTGAATTTACTATATACTTACAGAATTATCACGGTATAAAAATGGCAGTGGCTTGGGAGTCAAAGGAACTGAGTTCCAATTCTGGTTCTACCACTTAATACCTGAGCGACCTTGGATAAATAAATCATTTAACCTCCCAGGGTCTTGGTTTCCTGAAGTGACTATATTAGATGGCTAATGGTCCTTTGAGTTCTAGATGTAAGATCCTATGAGGGTAAGCAATAGACACAAATCCTGCCAGTACATCTGCTTCAAGAGCAGTTTCTATAGGGGTTGATGAGTGAGTGGGTAGTAAATCATGGTGGCATCTGATGGGGGAAGAAAAGTCACAGAACAGATGGCAGTTTGATGAGATAGAAGGGTCAAGGGATTTTTTTTTTGTAGGATTGTGAGAGCTAAGCATGTTTGTAAACAGATGGACAGGAACCGAGAAAGGGAGAGATTAAAGATATATCACATGGGTGATAGATAAGACAAAGTTCTGGAGGAGGGGCAGGAGAATCTCGAGATTCTCAAAGTATAATTGGGAGAACAGGTAAAGGTATGAACTTTAGCAAAAAGGAGGATTTCCTTGGAGAGGGGAGGGAAGGAAGAAAAAGTGCTTAAAAAGGTTTGAGGAGATGCAGAAAATTGAGAGAACTCAGAAAAATGGCAACATGATTATGACTAGAAGGAGAGGGGCTGAGGGCTTAAAGACACTTGAAATAGTCATAAGGAATGAGATGGTGAATCAGTGAATTAAATAAAAGTGCTTAAAAAATTAGTGAATGAATGAATTTTAAGCACAGACGTAGGGGCAGGTAGGTGGCGCAGTGAATAGAGCACTGGCCCTGGAGTCAAGAGGACCTGAGTTCAAATTTGACCTCAGACACCTGACACTAGCTGTGTGAACGTAGGCAAGTCACTTAACCCCAATTGCCTTACCAAAAAAAAAAAAAAAAAAGCACAAAAGTGGAGTAAAGTCCAATAGGAAATGCCATCTGAGTAAACAGCTTTTCTCCCTGGACTGGTTGAGAAATCAGTTTCTTAAAGTAGGGCCATCATAAAGTTCGGGCCATCAGCTGGCCCGAAGTTCCAGTCAAAATCACACTCTGAGAAACCGCTGGCAAGTGCCTGCTTGCGCGCGCGTGTGTGTGTGTGTGTGTGTGTGTGTGTGTGTGTGTCTGTGTGTGTGTGTGTGTGTGTGTGTGTGTGTGTGTGGAGTGGGAGACAGGGTAGACCTTGTCTTTGCCCTAATGGTTCTGAGTTAAGAGTGAAGATATTTTAGTTGAAATTCTGGCTCTGCCACTAAGCATTTGGGCCTCAGTTTCCTCACCTGTAAAATGATATTAATAGATAATGTGTATGTATAATAATCCATAATGTAAAGTGGATATTAATATTAACCCTATTTGGTGTTAGGTAGCTTGGTATACTGTAGGTATTTAATACAAGCTTACTGAATTGCATTGATTTGACCACCAGAAGTCAGAGGAAAGCAAGCCCTACAGCTCACCAATCAGCAGCTGGACTATGTTGGCGCCTGCATACTTTCTGACGTCCTCAATCCAGTGAGGAACAGAGAGGAATGAGCTCCTTTTGGTGATGTCATAGGCAAGAATGGCTCCATTGGCACTTCGGTAATAGCTCTGGGTGATGGTGCGGAAACGCTCCTGGCCAGCGGTGTCCCAGATCTGCAGCTGTATGAGACAGGGGAGAGACCTAATGAGGGGCAAGTAACCATGGGAACCAGATGATACGCAAAGGGCTGTGCTCACTACTGAACTGGCAGGGAGGCATCGAACAGGAAGAATTTAGTTGTTTGCAGCCTTGATCACGTTACACCAGTAGCAAGGGAGGGCTCTGCTGAGCTCCTGGCTAGTCAGGACCCCAAGCAACAGATGGTGCCCTTGTCAGAGACCTGCTCCTTACCCATGACCAGCCCAGCCTCACGGAAGGATCCTAAAGCTTGTAGTGTGAGCACCTAGGGAATTGTGCAGAGGGCACATAACGCAGCCCGTGGCCCACGGGGCAGCAAGCTACGAAGGGAGTAGGCACCTGGGTTAATGTTTACCTCGGGCTGCCCAGGGAGTTGTCCCTGAGCCAAGGTCCTAGGAGTTACTACCTGGCTTTTCTATTTTTGATAATCATGGAATTCAATGCAACAAGTCCCTCCCCACTCCAGTTTCATTTTGGAGTGCCCTGGTGGGCTGCTATTCTCATTGGAACGAAGCTTCTCAATGAGGTTCATTTCTAATCCAGAACAATGAATAATTCCATTTACTGCCACTGACCAAGAGATCCAGACCAGTGTCTCTAAGCCCCCTTACTCACAAGACAATGGTAGCAACTCTAAAGCCCACCTCTCAAACTCCCAAGGAGAAACTGAGAGGTGTCCAGAGTCCAAGAGGGTCCCTGGGGGAAGTCTACCACCTTGCTTTGTGGAAATATCTTGCTTGCCACATCATTGCCCACCCATCGTAGACATAAACATTCACCAAGAGAAGTATCAGACCTTAGTGGGATACTGGGTAACCCTGTGCTGACCAACTTCCACACCACCCCCAATTCTGTTTGCAATGCTGCTATGGGTAGCCCCAGAAAAAGATATGGCACGCCAAATAACAACGAGGGTCTTACAATCCCTGCTTCCTCATGCCTTTACTTACTCAGCGCAATAGTGACATTACCTAAGATGAGCCTATAAACTTCTATAAAACCAGTGAAAAGGTATTCTCTCTGGGGGGGAAGGGGGGAATACAATAAAATACAGGGACCATAATAAAATGTAGAAATCCTCTTGAGGGAAGGGCTGATCTAATTTTGGCATATGGATGTAATGGGATACTACTGTGCTTTATGCTATAAGAAATTATGGGGGCAGCTTGGTGGTACAGTGAATAGAGCTCTGGCCTTGGAGTCAGGATGACCTGAGTTCAAATCCAGCCTCAGATCAAAACACTTGACACTTACTAGCTGTGTGACCTTGGGCAAGTCACTTAACCCCAACTGCCTCACTAAAAGGCAAAAAAAAAAAAAAAAAAAAAATGAAGAAGCCTGGTCCTGTCCTCAATTCTTCCTCTAGGCAGTTTAGGGCAATTAATTGCAGGGGATGGCTGATGGCTAAGCTGTCTGTTCCTCTATGGAGAAAAGATAAGAGTGCTGCCAGGTAACTGATTTTAGAAGGCAAAGGTAGATTTTGTCTGAGAAACACCTCCTTCACTCCCCCCCCCAATACAAAAACTTATAGAAGACCACTAACTTTGAAAGACTTATTTCTTAATCTTTAAGGCAACAAGTGATAAATGATAAGACATGCTACTTACTCACCTCCTAAACAGGTCATAGTTTCAAGAGTACATATTGAGACATTTTTCATTTTGGGCATGGTCAGTGCAGGAATGTTTACTTGACTATACCCATTTCTTTTGCTTTTTTCTGGAGTCTTTTTTTTTTTTTAATTGGAGGCAATCAGGGTTAAGGGACTTGCCCAGGGTCACACAGCTAGTAGGTGTCTGAGACTAGATTTGAACTCAGGTCCTCCTGATTCCAGGGTCGATTACTCACTCTACGACCATGCCTATTTCTTACACGGACTTTTTTTTTCTCCTCTCACTGGGGGTGGAGGGATATGTATATGTGTTTCATTGTCAAGAGATCCAGGCAAGGGTCTAAGACTATTAGTTAGGGTTCAATGAATCCAATGAACAATTTGCACAAAGATTTTTTTTATATATGACCATAATAAAATATAGAGCATTCTATTTGCAGTTAGAAGACTTGGAAAAGAATCCTAGGTCTGCCACTTACTAATTACGTGACCTTGAGTAAATTATTTTACCTTTCTGGGCCCCAGTTTCCTCATGGGGGTTGGACTAAACCAGCTTTTGTTTTCATTTTAATCCCATATGTTTTATTTGATGCAATAAAAAACATTATTCAGGAGTTCTTAATCTTGTTCAGACTTTCACCTGTGAAACTTTCTCTACTGCCAACCCAAGTTTACCTTGTGTGGCTAGTTAGCTTACCCCTCCTCCAAGGCCAGGTGGGCTCAGTACTCCTCCAGGAGGAGAGGGCAGTGTCAGAAGGTTAAAGCTTATCTGGTGCTAGAACCCAACAGTTTCTCTGCTCCTAAGTCTCTTGCCCTGTCCCTCTTACTCCTTCCATTCGACAATTAGGGCCATCTTTACCTTGTCTTAGGTTTCAAAATTAAATCTTTCTTCTTCTCCTTCATCCTCATCCTAAAAATTCCCATTCCCTTGGTGCTAGGTATTAAAAAAGCAAACTAATTAAGCCACAAGATACACGTAAGCATTTACACGACCAATGATTCAGTTTTAAGGTGCAAGAATTCTCTCCCAAAATAAGAAAGAGGGGGAGGGGGGGTTTGATAGGAGGGAGGGCAGATTAGGGGAAGGAATATTCAGAATGCACGAGGGGAGAGATAAGGAGAAAATCTGGAACTCAAAAATCCTGTGGAAGTGAATGCTGAAAACTAAAAATAAATTAAAAAAAAAAAGAATTATCTCCTCAAACATCCTGATAGGAAATCTCTAGTCCAGCCTAATTTTCTACAAGTAAAGAAACGGAGGCCAGAGGCCCAAAAGGGTAAATGGTAAATGACTTGCCCAAAGTCACACAATCAGTATGTATTTGAGGCATAATTTGAACCCAGGTTTCTCCTAGTCCACAAGTTTTTCCTTGTGATAAAGAAACAATTAAGGAAATACAGTGACCATACTGACAATGCATACAATAGTCTTTTCTAAGTAGTCGGTCCCTTTTCTCTGTGCTAAGGAGGGAGATATTTCATTATCTATATCCTAGATCTTGTAAAAGTGATTTGTATTGTTACCTGTTAGCTAGAAACTTCTCGATCTCTCTAAGCCTCATGTTGTCTTTTTCTCTTTGGGAGATTTTATCATCAGAAGCAGTAGCAGCAGCAGTAATAACAGCTTATTTATATGGCACTTTAAGACTCAAGAAAGAGATTTCCTTACAATGCAAATTAATCTACCCGTTTTACGGAAGAGGAAACTAAGGCTAGGTTAACTGAGGTTAACTGACACAACTAATACAAGTGAGAACCACCTGACTCTAAATCTCTTTCCACTATTCAAGGCTCTCTCACTTTTCCCTTTCTTTCTGTCTAATGACCACCTAGCACAATTACATGTTTAAAAGGGTTACATCAGTCCCTGACTGTTTGTAGCTCTGGAATGAATGATGCAATCTCAACTCCACACACCATCATTTGCAGCATCTTCCTTGTCAGGACGTTATACCTCTCTACACTCGTTTTCCCCCAAACTGAGAGCTGGGAGGACTTGTGGAGAAGCAGCATGCTGTAGTGGGCAGGGCTGGGCTCGAGAAGACCTGGTTTCAAATCCTACCTCACTCACTTACTAGCTGTGTGACCCAAGGCAGGTCACTTCCCTTTCCTGGCCTCAGTTTCCTCATCTCTAAAATGAGAGGGTCGAACCAAACTCTACATCTCTGATCCCAAGCTGATTAAAAGAAAAACGAGCCCTTTCTCAATGCAAAAAAGTTTGGGAATGAAAACAATTCATAAACAAATATATACAAGATACTGTCCCTGTAGCAGTTACATGGAAAAATCAAATGAGTAATAAATAGTAGCTAACACATACATAGTGCTTTACATACAGTTCATCCTCAAAAAACCCTGGTAGGTAGGTGCTATTATCATACCCATTTTACAGATGAGGAAACTGAGCAGCAGAGGTTAAGTGACTTGCCTAGCTTTACATAGCTAATAAGTGTCTGAGGTGGAATTTGAACCATGGTCTTTCTTCCTGACTTCAAGTTCAGCTGTTTTCTCTACTAGCTAGGCTACCTTCTATTCCTGGAAAATGCCAGTTAACTTGCACAGGAATAATTTCAGGCCTGAAGACAAAGTAAGAATCCTATGTACCTCTTAGACTTTCAAGCATTGTTTGTTATAATATCCCTTAATTATTTGGAATCCATACAATTTTCCTGAAGGATCTTAGATCACACAAAGAAAAAGGAAAAGGACTCACATGTACAAAAATATTTATAGCAGCTCTTTCTGTGGTGGCAAAGAAGTGGAAATTGAGGGGATAGCCATCATTTAGGGAATGGAGGAATAACGTGGCAGATGATTATGATGGAATACTACTGTGCTATAAGAAATGACCAGGAAGGTGGTTTCAGAAAATAGATGGCAAGACCTATATGAACTGATGCAAAGTGAAAAGAGAAGAACCAGAAGAGTATTGTATACAGTAACAGCAACATTGTATGATGATCAGCTGTGGATGACTTGCTATTCTTGGCAATACAATGATTTAAGACAATTTCAAAGGACCCATGATGAAAAAATACTACATACCTCCTGAGAGAGAACTGATGAACTTGAGTGCAAATTGAAGTACACAATTTTCTCACTTTTTTCCCCATGTGGCTAATATGGAAATGTTTTGCATGATTTCACATGTATAATTAATTGATATAATTTTGTTTGCCTTGTCAGTAGGTGGGAGAGGAGTGAAAGGAAAGAATTTGGAATTCAAAATTTTAAACAAATACTAAAGAAAAATTAAAGAAAAGACAATAAAAAAGAATTTGAGATCACTAGCTCATAAAAGAGAGTTTAATTTATGCCAAATAGTAAATATATCTTTTTGTTTTGTTTTTTAGGCAACTGGAGTTAAGT